CCGTCTGGTGTGTCCCACGCTACCCCTCTCCCCTCGGTCGCGCGTCAGGTAGCGTCTCCCTCCCCGCAGTCCTCCTCACAGTCCCCTCAGCAGCCTTCGGCACTTCCGCGACAGGTTACTGTGGACTCTGTTGGTGTTGGAGCTGGAGGTGCAGCCGCTGGGGGTGCTCGGTCGCGGGGTACTGAAGCTGGAGGTGCTGGCGCAGGTGACGCTAGCTCTGGGGGTGCTGGAGCTGGAGGTGCTGGCGCAGGTGGCGCTAGCTCTGGGGGTGCTGGAGCTGGAGGTGCCGGCACTGGAGGTGCTGGTTCTGGGGGTGCTGGAGTTGGGGGTGCTGGCACTAGCGGTGCTAGTTCTGGGGGTGCTGGAGTTGGAGGTCCTGGCACTGGCGGTACTGGTTCTGGGGGTGCTGAGTCTGAGGAGACTGACGCTGGAGACCCTGGTTCAGCGGAGTCCACCTCGCCCCCCCACCGCCACGACACGCGTCTCCAGGCTGCCCGTCGGCGTGAGCGTGAGGAGCAGGAGCGGTTGGAGAGGGAGCGGCAGGAGCTGCGGGTGCTGGACCTTCTGGAGCAGCAGCAGCAGCAGCAGCAGCAGCAGCAGCAGCAGCCGCAGCCACAGCAGCAGTAGCAGCCGCAGCCGCAGCGGCCGCAGCCGCCACCGCAGCTTCCTCTAGAGCGGCGGTTGTTCCCACCTGTGAGTGGCCTGCGGGCCCTTGGCCTTTCCTCCTCTCCTCCTGTCCGCTCCCAGTCTCCTCCTGTGTTTGTTCCTCCGTTGCCTCCTCCTGACGACCGTCCGGCGGTCTGGTCTTCTCCTCCTCCTCAGTCTCCTCCTCCCTCTGTCCGTCGCGACTTGATCACTCGTTGCCCTCCGCGTGCTCGTCACTCGTCCCCTGTTACTGACCTCCACACTGCCCTCCTTTGTTCGTCTCGTCGTCGTTCTCCTTCTCCTGTGTCCGTTCTCCCGTCTCCTCCTCCGTCCTCTCTACCTGCCCTCCCCACTCCTATCTCTGACTACTACCGCGCTGTTCGTCCTGTTGCCGCACGTGTCCTCACCACTCTTGTCACCGACCCTCGTTTCCCTCCGTCGTCTGTCTCGGCTCTCACTGCCGCTGTCGGTGAGTTTGCTGCCGCCAGCCGCCTTGACTACGCCACCCGTGTGGTGCCAGCTCCTCCCTACCGTCCTCTGTCCGTCGGGGGTGGGTTTGCCCTTGGCTGTGACGTCCTAGAGGACAGAGAGTCTGAGCTGGAGTACTGGGCAGCCGCTTCTCCCTCTGTGTGTGCCATGCTGCTCTCCCCTGAGGGAGACCCCGACGCCCTTGACATACCGACTCCTCGCACTTACCGCGAGGCAGTGTCAGGGGCGTGGGCCTCTCAGTGGAAAGCGGCTATGGACTCAGAGTTGGCGTCTTGGAGATCCACAGGCACCTATGTCGACGCAGTTCCCCCTCCCAGGGCGAACGTAGTCGATGGCATGTGGCTCTTCAAGGTGAAGCGGCCGCCTGGAGCACCGCCGGTGTTCAAGGCGCGCTACGTGGCTAGGGGTTTCAGTCAGCGTGAGGGAGTTGACTTCTTCCAGACCTTCGCCCCGACCCCGAAGATGACTACTCTTCGGGTGTTACTCCACATAGCAGCGCAGCGAGACTACGAGCTGCACTCCCTCGACTTCTCCACTGCGTTCCTCCAGGGCCGACTGCACGAGGAGATCTGGCTGCGCCGTCCTCCTGGCTTCACTGACACCTTCCCACTTGGGACCCAGTGGAGCCTGAGGCGACCAGTCTACGGTCTCCGCCAGTCGCCCCGTGAGTGGCACGACATTCTTCGCTCCACGCTTCGTGACCTTGGGTTCAGCCCGTCCTCCGCCGACCCGTCGCTGTTTGTTCGAGCGGGTTCTACTCCTTTCTTTATCCTTGTCTACGTCGACGAATTGGTGTTTGCTACAGCAGACAGGGCAGCCCTGGCTCAGGTGAAGTCCGAACTGCAGAAGAGACACAAGTGCACTGACCTGGGTGAGCTGCAGCGCTACCTTGGCCTGCAGATCACCCGGGACAGAGCCGCTCGCACCATCACACTGACGCAGTCACACATGGTGCAGCAGGTCCTTCGGCGGTTCGACTTCCAGTTCTCCACCACACAGCCCACTCCTCTTGCTGTTGACCACAGACTCACGGGCCCCTTTCCTGACGAGCCCTTTGAGTCCAGTGGACCCTACGCAGAGCTGGTGGGCTGCCTCATGTACCTGATGACTTGTACTCGACCGGACCTCGCCTTTCCACTCAGCATCCTTTCTCGCTTTGTTGCGACTAGGAGACACCGCCCTGTCCACTGGACAGCTGCTGTGAGGGTGGCGAAGTACCTGGCGACTACATCAGGCATGGGGCTTGTGCTTGGAGGGACTCAGCCAGTGGCGTTGACTGGTCACTGCGACTCTTCCTACGCTGACGACGTGGAGACTCAGCGTTCGACTCAGGGTTACTGCTTCAGTCTGGGAGCTGGTGCTGTGTCGTGGAGGTCTACACGGTCGTCGTCTGTGGCTACTTCCAGTGCAGAGGCAGAGATCTACGCTGGTGCCATGGCGGCACAGGAGCTTCGCTGGTTGACCTTCTTGCTCGCTGACCTTGGTGAGCGGCCTCGCTCTGCACCGACCTTGTACGCTGACAACAAGGCCATGATCCTCCTGTGTCGAGAGCCTCGACTGGAGAGCAGAGTGAAGCATATTGACGTGAGGTACTTCCTCCTGCGAGAGCTGCAGCGACGCGGTCAGGCACGCCTGGACTTTGTGGCCTCAGAGGCCAACACTGCAGACGTCTTCACCAAGGCCTTGGCGCTTGGTGACCACCACAGGTTCTGTGTGCAGTTGAGGCTTGTTGAGGTAGGCCCTCGGTTGCTGTAGTCCTGTTGCTTGCTCTGCTTGTTGTGCTTTGTATTTATATCCTAGTGAACTCTTGAACTGGCCTTGTGGCCGCTTGCTTGCGCTCGGAATTTGTGTGGTGTCCTTGAGATCCACCCTGAGCTTGCCTTGGTTCTTGCTTTGACTGGTCTTGTGACCGTTTGTTCACCTTGCTTGCTTTGATGCCCCTCACGTAGCCTATGGGGGTGTGTCAAATGTTGAACATTGATATGATAGGCTATAGTGAGTTGCACTCTAGGGGGTACATCTTCTAGGGTTGCTCATTTGTACCCCATTCGTTTCTATTCCAATCATTCCGTTGTTCGCTAACTTTGAGACAGTGATGTACGCGCTAAGCAGGGATGCAGCGTAAGGAAATGGAAAATTCCTTACAACATGTATGTTATACGGTTGACAAGATATAAACGTAATGTTTCACATGAGATCCATCTCACTGCCATAATCGTGTTAAATCACACAGATGATTTATCTACCGTTCACATTATATCGCTTCAGTCTGTCTCCTTCATGTGTGGACACATCAGGTGAAAGTGGACCGATCAATGCTTCTATAGCATAATAACTATACATAAATGCCACGCTTACGCTTAGGCGAAGGATATAATCAATGGAACAGCCATATCTAGCTAGTAATCCGCCAATCTAGTTACATCTCCTCCACAAATGCAACGCCTGCTGGCTGCGGCCCTGCTGACCAGTCCCTAAAACCCCCAGTTGTAGCTGCTGATCAATTCCAGTATGCCTGGAGGCTGTTTGTGCTTTACATCTGCACCACTAGAGTCTAGACACAGACCTTGCTGTCCCCATTAGCCAGCCCCTTCAGCAGTGCCCCCTCCTGACTTCCTGCTTGTTGCCCTTGCTGTACCACTACCGGTACTGTTAAATGTCAAGGCTGCACCCCACTTCCATGCAAAGCAGAAATGCTAAAGTGGAAGAACTTTGTCATAAACAACACTCCGGTTAGAAGCTCATAATCATACAATTGACTTCAACAACAAAACGCTACATACAATGTGGGAAACACCATCCAGCTAAAGCTACAGTCTCCGTAGGCTCTTCTTTCTCAAATCAGCCTTCTTGTCCGTCCCACCCCGGCCCGTGTTCTCTCCCTTCCCTTTAGCCTTCACCACACCACCACCCGTGCTTGATGCTGCCACAGGCTCCTCCACAGCTGCTGCTGCTGAACCATTTCCAGCCTTTGCCTGCAGCCTTGAGTCAGCGTTTGCAAGTGACCGATTGGTTGCGAGGGGTGTGTGATGGGCTGGAGAAATACCGGCACTCCCAGCCGGATTTTTGCCACTGGTAGGATCAACAGATGAGGCAGCAATGTAAGTGTTGGGAGGAGCGGCTGGTGGGGTGCTGCTGCTGGAATCTCGAGAAATCACTGTGGCGTCAGTGGCGGTGGCAGCAGCATCAGGACCCAGAGCAGCGGAGAGAGTTGGAGCGGCATGGGGAGCAGCAGCAGCAGCTGGAGCGGCAGCAGCGCGGCCAGAGTCTGAGAGCAGATCAGCTGCTGTTGCCGACTGTGTGGATGCTCTCTGCTGATTCCTGCTGGGGTGCTGATTATCTGTCTCCTGCCGTGCCTGCTCATGCTGCTGCTGCTGTTGCAGTTGCAGCTGCTGAGCATGCTGCTTTGATTTTCCAGCAGAAGTCAGGGCGGAGGAGGCGGCAGGGGCGGCATGGATGGATGTGAACAGGCGGGCATGGCGGGCATACGCGTTATAGTCCTCAAGAAGCAGCTTCCCGGCGTCCTCGTTAAGAGCAGACTCAGGATAAGGTTCAATCAGCAAGCAGCGCACCACCTGCACGAGCTCAAACAAGATCGGAAGGAGCATGAAGGAAAGCAGTAGAGGTTATGCACGAAGCAAATCAGGATCAATTTTGAGAATCTCAACAAATGACACAATCACTGGAGCCCTCTATCCGTCAGAAAAATCTCTAAAGGGAGCCCACATTTAATCCACCGTGTTGCCAACCCAACAGCAGCAAACATCAACCATAGTCAAATCAAACCAGACCAGGTCAGAATCATCCCAGCGCCAGAGTGTGGCACGTGTCTGAGCCCTCTTGAGCTCAAATCGAAACATAGAATATCAAACCGAATCAAATGAGATATTTTTGTCCCAGCTCACCAGCAGCACGTGCTTGAGTCCGAGGGTGGCCTTCCAGTCCTTTTTTAGCACGCTCACGCAGATCTCGCCGCTCTTGGCCACGTTGGGGTGGAAAATGCGCGTCAGGAAGAAGCCTGGAGAGGACGGGTGGAGTTTGGAGTAGGATTGGGGGGGGGGGGGGGGAGGAGGGGGGATGAGGGGTGATGGAGGTATGGGTGTGTGAGTAGGCTGCTCAGGGGAGGCGTTGAGCCTGTTACCTCGAGGGAGGCGTGAGAAAGGGTTGATGTCACCTTTGGGGGCGAAGTTACCTTTGGGGGCGGAGTTGGGGAAGTCGCGCCCGAGCAGCAGCTTCATGCGGAACACGCCGCCCTCGTACGGCGTGCCCTCTGCGCATGCCGACTCCGCGCGGTGTAGCGCGACGATAAGCAGGGGGGGGGGGGGGGGGGGGGGAGAAGGGGACGGGGGAAGGAGGTTAGGGGGAAGGTAGGGGAAATGGAAGAGGAAGAAGGAAAGGCGAAAAAGTTGACATGAGAGCAAGAAACGCGCGTAACGCAAAACAGTTTGACCGGGGGGAAAGGATCGAGCACGCGAGTGGATTACGAGTTACACGAAGGCCGTTAAATTATACGCAGGAGCCCTGTACTTTATTAAATCATCCCCTACAGACTATTAACTCACTCGCTAACCGGCGTGGGCTCACCAGGGCCGTCGATCTCAGCAAGGACGGTTGCGATGCTGTCGTCGTGAACCGTCACCCGGATGCCGTCCAGCGCGCTCTGCTGCAGCGCCCTCAGCTCCCGCGCCACCTCGCGCGCCACGCGCGGAGGGAGGGGCGCGCCATTGGCGCTCGCCTGGGGAGGGGGAGGGGGAGGGGACGGGATGCGCGGAAGACGGGGGAGGGGGGTGGATTGGCGGTCACTGGATGAGGAGCAGCGCCTTCAGCTCCCGCGCCACATCGCGCGCCACGCGGGGGGGGGGGAGGGCGCGCCAGTGACGGTCGCCTGGAAGGGATGGGCGAAAGTGGGGCAGTCGGCAGAGGGCAGCGGGCGGGCGGAAGGGGGCAGGGGAACGGAGACAGAGGGCATGGGGCGTGGGGGGAGAAGGTGTGGGGCGTGTGGAAGGCGCGGGGAAGGTTGGTGGTCACTGGATACGGAGCGGCGCCCGCAGCACCGCAGCTCCCGCGCCACCTTGCGCGGAGTAAGCGGACTTGGTAGGCGCTCGTTATGTGGAGGCGATAGACAGGGAGGCGCGACTTCTTGGCGCACTTCTTTCGTTCCAGGGCTGCGAGCGTACCGCAGAAAACAGGACAGGCGGACTGCGTGGGCTCGCGTCGTACGATACATGACAACTTGCTTCACTCACCATTGGTTCGCACGTCTCGAGGTTTGACCAGTATGGATAGAGGTATGGTCCGAGGTCCACCTATGTGGTCTTACTGTACTTGGACCAATGACTAGTATAGTGCACTTTGTAGGCGTGCCGACAAAGACCGCAATAACACCTGGCTTCTAATAGCGCGTATGCCGTTCCCTGCCGCTGTATTTTCGCACCATGGCCATGTCACGTTCGTATTCGTGCGTCTGAGCTGATTCACATTACGAGGGATACGATAGCGTTAGAGATGCTCAGAGCTTCCTAGTGCGCGTGGGAGAAAGAGCGAGAAGAGTGGTGGTGATAGTTACGAGCACGGACTCGATGGAGGAAGGACAAGGCGCGACGTTTATTGCCGCGATGAGGCGAGTTGGTTGGAGTCAAGAGAGCGACAGGAAGAAGCAAGGGTTGAAGGGAGCGTGGCTAACTGATTAACTCGAGGCGCGCCCAGGGTGGTCCGAACCGAAGCGTCGGCGTCACGCCGCAACAACCTTACCCTCGCCACTCAAACGGAAGATGGGGAAAGCACCGAGCCTGCGGGGAAGAGAGGGGGAGCAACAGGATGAAATATTGAAGCTTGCGCCTGTGATCGTGATTGAGGAAAGGGAGCGGATGGATTAGGGGCGCAATTTCGAATGAGGGGGATGGTGGTTGCGGAAGAGGGGAATCTGGCTCGGTGTTATCGAGGCGCGGATTGCGCGGTTCGATTTGGACGGCTCGCGTTCTCCAACCAGTGCCTTCGATAACATCACTTTCTTAGCAGGAAACATGGATTTTAGAGAAGAAAATGTGACTGCACGAGGATCTAAACTCAACACCGCTGAAATTCCCTAACGGAGAGTGCAATATCAGGCACGGAATCATCAGTATGGAGGAACCGAAACTTCACGAGGATCTTTTACAAGTGTATCCGCACGATACATATATTGCCGAAGTGTACCGATGCGTATTCCGTTCGCCAATATCTTGACAAACTGAAAACCAAGCCCAAGAACAGGACAGTCAACCAATCCCAATGCCAGCAGCAGGTCAAGCCCCAGTGGGAATCCAAGAGATCTCCCACTACAGTAACCGCGAGTCAGCCACTCTCCAGTAGGAACCAAATGTGGAGGCGGCACCAGACCAAATAGTGGCTAGGCAGGAGTTTAGGCTTTGTCATGATTTGAGCAGAGGACTGAATCAGCTTAGTTGGTAGGCTGTCGTTCCTAAGCTTGTCCTTTCGTGCTGATACACCTCGCATTGCCTCTGGTTCCACGGAAGGCACTGAGTCCTGTCCAGGCCATGTTACACATTAGGAATCATAACCATTATTATCGAGAATTTGAGAAACCCAGTCACTTCCGAAGTGCGTGCGTTTGCGTGCTTCTTGACCGTTAGCATGGTACTTTCGACGACGAATGTGCGTAGTTTCGGGAACGCGTACCGGAAGCTGTCATACAGGAATCTCTCCGAACGACCCGCCTGTAATGTTCAGTAACATGACATGAATCGACACGATACCGCAGCGCATGGCATAACGCGACATAATAACACAGCGGATGGCATGATACGGGTTCAAATGACATGACACCATCGGAAATGTCTGGACTTGGCGGAAGGATGACACGACAAGGGGACTTCTCACGACAACGGAACATGTCACGACGACGGAACATGACACGACACGGTTCCTGAAGCCGCTGATCCGGGTTAATTACACGCAAGCCTCAGTGTGCTGGCGATGGCGCTGTCGTTCTTTCGAGGGTTCTTCAAAGGAGGGCTGGTGGAGGAGGACTTGGACGCGTTCTACCCCGTGCGCCAGGACGTGCAAGTCGGCACTGTTAGCAAGTTCCGACCGCGGGTGAGTTCCACATTCCGGTGAGTCAGGGAACAGGTAGTCCTCAAGAACTTTCTAAAGTCAGGGCTGGTGGAGGAGGACCTGAATGTGTTCTACCCCGTGCGGCAAGACGTGCAGGTCGGCACCGTCAGCAAGTTCCGATAGTGGGTGAGTCAGGGAACATGTAGTCTTTGAGAAATTCCTATAGGCACTTCGTGCCAGCCCGTGTGCCAGGAGCGTCAGCACATTTCAGTCTGCACCTCAACAAGTTCCGAGCGCGAATCAGTCAGCAAACTTTGACCTTGGTTGGTGGAGTGGGTCCTGGAGCGAGCGAGCACCGCTTTGCTCGTGTCCTGAATCTCCCGCCTCTAGCTTTTGCGACCAACTAGGCCTTCCTATCGCTACCCATGGCAACAAACAGCCGCTGTCTATCACTCTGCTCTTACAACCCCCCCTTCCCGCACGCCTTCTCCCACTCCCCCTCACGGCATGGTGTGGCATATTCCACTGTCTGATGGCACGACACGGCATGGCACGGCATGGCATGGCATGGCCGGTATGTGTAATGCAGGCGAGCAAGCGGCTCTCAGAGGAGAAATGGAGCGACATGTTTGACGCGGAGGGGCGCATGGTCAACCTCGAGGCTGCTCTCCGCCTCATACAGCGCGGGGTACGCGCCATGCAGGGGGGATGTGTCATGCCAGGACAGCATGTGTCATACCTGTTATGGCTGGTTAGCCCTGAAGCCACGAGTGCAGAGTGATCCAAGCTGAGCAAAGAGGCATGAATAGGGAGGCCAACGGCGTTGCTTGTGACCCTAGTGATTGTACGGCGTACCCCTCGCCTCCTCTCGCCCCTTCCCCTTTGTTTCTCCCAATGTATCCCAAACCCCCCAGGGCTGTAAGCCGGGCATTCGGCCGGAGGTGTGGGAGTATCTGCTGGGGCTGGTCAGTCCTGCAGCCAGGATCGCCGAGCGTGGCGAGCTGAGAGGCATGTATAGAGACACCGATGCTTTGCTATCATCCCTTAACCCTCTCATTTCCCTCCTGATACCTTCCCCAGGGCTGTGAGCCGGGCATACGGCCGGAGGTATGGGAGTACCTGCTGGGACTGGTCAGCCCGGCAGCCACGAGTGGCGAGTGTGGCGAGCTGAGGAGCATGCGCAGAGAGGCGTATGCCGCGATGCTCAAGGAGTGCCAACTGGTGGACCCTGTCATTGGCAGCGGGTTCGTGGTCGACTTCCCCAGGGTGCAGGTGGGTGCAGAGCGTTGAAGGGTGATGGAGATTGCAGAGGGGTGGAGATGGGTGGAGGTGAGTGCATAAGAGAGGGGGAGGCGTATGCTCCCTACCCCCTAAACCCCCCCCCCCCCCCCCCCCCCCCTCTTCCCTCCATCCACGCCCACCCCCCACTCCCTCCTTTTCCTCCCACAATGCCAACCTGCCAGGACGATGGCACCGAGGCCGATCTCCCAGACTCCTATGCCGGCCCGCTGCGCCTCGTGCCGCTCATCCCGCCCCTCTCCCATCACCACCACCCCCCCATCCCCCCTCCCCCCGCTCCTTCAATGCCCCCCAATGCCAGGACGATGGCACCGAGGCCGATCTCCCAGACTCCTATGCCGGCCCGCTGCGCCTCGTGCCGCCCATCCCTCCCCTCGACGCCGCGTGGGAGGAGTCCGGAGCGCAGCTAGGGGTGCTTGAGGAGGGGGAGGAGGAGGAGGAGGAGGAAGGTGAGGGGGAGGGGGGCGAAGTGGAGGGAGGTACAAGTGACAGTGGTGACGGTGGTCGTGGTGGTGGCAGTGGCAGTGGTGGTGGTGGCAGTGGCAGTGGCGGTGGTGGCAGCAAGAGGAGGGGGCGGAGGGCGAGTGAGACGGCAGTGGATGAGGCGATGAGGACGTGGGCGGCGGAGAGGGCAGAGGTGGTGGCACGCGTGGGGCTGGACCGAATTCACAAGTGGCGGCAAGGGCTCTATCAAATAGGTCAGTGTTCAGGGGAAATGTAGTGCCTGCTGGGTCAAACCAAATGCCGTACGATTCAAGTCAGAGGTGGTGGCACGCGTGGGGCTGGACCGAATCCACAAGTGGCGCCAGGGGCTCTACCAAATAGGTCGGTAAAAGCATACACCAAGAAAGATAATTACTCAGGTGAAGTGGCACCGTGGGTTTTGCCACATGGGTCAGCAAACAGGGGCAATGAGTTGGCTGCCCGCTGGCCTGGAAAATCCGTTCGCCATCCTCCACCCTTTCACCCCTCAAGCTGTCTGTCACCACCATCTGTCCCTGTTGCCAGCGCAAGTATCCCACATCTTTGCCTAAAACCCCTTCCCCAATCCCCTCCCAAACCCCTTCTCCCATCTCCCTTGCCCCGTTTCCTCCCCAAGCCCCTCCCGATCCCCTCTCCATCTCCTTTACCCCATCCCCTCCCCACACCCCCTCCCTCGCCCTATCTCCCCTGCAGGAGCAGACATGACTCGGGCCGATCGCTGGCTACTCCTCTTTGAGAGCAGCAGCAGCCGAGCGCGCCTGATGAACGTGCTGGCGGTGTACGCATGGTTCGACCCGTCTTCTCCCCCCTCTCTCCCCACTTCCCCCCCTCTTTTCCTATCAGGAGTGGATGTGACCCGGGCCGACCGTTCCCTACTCTTCTTTGAGAGCAGCCGCAGCCGAGCGCGCCTCATGAACGTGCTGGCGGTGTACGCATGGTTCGACCCCGAGGTGGGGTACTGCCAGGGCATGAGCGACCTCATGTCCCCCATGGTCGTGCTCTATCCTGACGACGCCGACGCCTTCTGGGCATTCGAAAGGCTCATGCGCAGAGTGGTGAGTGGTTGGTTGGTTAGAAGCAGGGAGTTAGGGTGTGTGGTGTGGTATGGACGCACTGATGTGGGTGGGGTACTGCCAGGGCATGAGCGACCTCATGTCCCCCATGGTCGTCCTGTATCCCGATGACGCCGATGCCTTCGGGGCGTTCGAAAGGCTCATGCGCAGAGTGGTGAGTGCGTCTGGTTTGGTTGCCAGCAGGGCGTTTGGGTGTGTGATGTTGTATGGACGCACCAGGGCATGAGCGACCTCATGTCCCCCATGGTTGTCCTGTATCCCGATGACGCCGATGCCTTCGGGGCGTTTGAACGGCTCATGCGGAGAGTGGTGAGTGCATCTGATTTGGTCGGCAGTAGGACGTTTGGGTGTGTGGTATGGTACGGTTGGGCATTCAGAAGGAGATCAACCTGTGGAAGCACCCTCATGACTCCTTTTGCATCTCTTGCATCTTCTTCACCCCTTTGTTAACTTCAATCACCAGAGGGAGGACTTTATGAACACGGACACGGGCCTGGGCATTCAGAGGGAGATGAGCCCGCCGCTCGTGTGAGATTCATGAGCTTGTTTGTCCCCCCTGTACCTGTGTGCTGTCTGTCACTGATTCCCAGAGGGAGGACTTTATGAATACGGACACGGGCCTGGGCATTCAGAGGGAGATCAGCCGCCTCTCCCACATGGTCTACACTCTCGACCCTGAGCTGCACGCGCACTTAGGTAAGTGCTTTCACTCGCTTTCGAAACACTTGTGCATGCTTGGTTGAGTGCTTTCACTCGCTTACTCGCCTCACACGCGCATGCATAGGTGACTGTCTCCACCACAGAGTGGTTTCAGTCTCGTCCACCTGTCCTTCCGTTTAGCCTCTGCCTCCCTCTCATTCTTCCCCTCTCCACCGACACCCACACCCTCTCTGACAGACGAGATAGGAGCGGGCACCATGTTCTTCACGGTCCGCACGGTCATGGCCATGTTCCGCCGCGAGCTCTCTTCTGTGCATGCCCTCTCTCTCCCTCTCATCCCCGACTCCCCTCCCCTCTCTTATCAGACGAAATAGGAGCAGGCACCATGTTCTTCACGGTGCGCACAGTCATGGCCATGTTCCGCCGCGAGCTCTCCTTTGCAGACGCACTCTACCTCTGGGAGGTGAGGGTTTGCTGTGGGCTGTGAGGGTCAGCTGTTTTGGTTCTTTTAGGCGACCCAACAGTTGTCGAATCTTCTTTTTGAGGGTCAGCAGTACGTTGTGAGGGTGAGCCGTGCCCTGTTAATTTTCCTAGATGTTGCATGCACGTCACGCTAATGCGGGACGAGTACCCGCGGGTCATGGGAAAGAGGATTGCCAACGTGTCCGCGGGTGACTAAACTCGAGACCAAGGACGACTCGACGAGGAGTATTCTCTTTCCTGTAACCCTCTCCTCTCAGATGATGTGGGCGTGGGACTATGACGCGTGCAGTGCGGCCCTCCTCCCTCTGGCGGATCAAGCCATCTTCCACACGGCCCGCCACCTGCCGCACCTCACCATGGACCGATCTGCTTACATTGCTGCCACCGCCGCTGCCGTCCGGGCGGCCGCTTCCGTCCTACTCGACGCAGATCTCTTCACGGCTATAGCTGTCGATATCGCCAATGCCACCCGCGTGCCCCTCTCTGCTGTTCCCAGCACTGGTGCTGCCAGTGCTGGCGGCGCGGGGAGTATTGTCAGCAGCAGCAGCAGCGGCAGTGGTGGTGGTGGTGGTGGTGGGTCGCTTTCGACTTATGCGTCTGGTTCGGTGGGTACTGCGAGCAGCATTGCCGGCAGCGGCGGCACGTCGGCGTTCGCAGCGCCACATGAGGATGCGGATCGAGGCTCAGTGGACCTCTTTTCCTCCCCTCAGAGGCTGGAGATCGCCCTTATGGCTGCGGAGCTGGCTGTGACTCAGGCTGCCGTGCATGCTGTGCCTGATACCCCTGCTTCTGGGGCTCTTATGGGGAGAAAAGGGGGTGGTGGGGTGGGTGGGAGGGAGTTTGTTGTGCCTGAGGAGTGGGAGGACGGTGGAGGGGTGGAGGAGGGAGAGGAGGGGTGGGAAGGGGAGGAGGAGGACGAGGAGGCTTATGGGGAGAGTGAGAGTGAAGAGGAGGAAGAGGAGGATGAGGAGGACGAGGAGGGGGAAGGGGAAAGTAGGAGTGAGAATCAGGACAGTGACTTAGAAGGTGACAGTGGGGAGGAGGATCTGAGGAATTCGGGGTATGGGTCAGAGGAGGACAGGGAGGGAGAGGGAGGGGGAGAGAGCGAGGGAGAGGAGGAGGGAGAGTGGGGGAGGGAGAGGCGCCTGTCTGAGGCAGCGGCTAGAATAGCGGGAGTGTGGGAGGAGGAAGAGGATGAAGCTGAAGAGGCGGGGGTTGCAGGGGTAGAAGTGGGAGGGGAAGGAGGGGCAGGAGCGGCAGCAGTTGGAGGGGCAGGTGGAGGGGTGGGCATGGTAGCAGCGGAAGGGGCAGGCACAGGCACAGCAGGGGGAGCGGCGGGAGTGAGTTGGAGTGCAAGTGGTGGCAGTGAGCCGTCCTTCTTTGGCCGCATGCGGTCCCTCTGGGGCAAGAAGGACGACGCTGCTGCTCCTGCTGCTCCTGCTCCTGCTATTGCTCCCTTCTTGTGGGGCAAAAAGGACAACCCTTCCCTTCCTCCCGCTCCTGCTGCTGCTGCTGCTGCTCCTCTTCCTCCTGCTCCTCCTCCTCCTCCTCCTGCTGCTGCTGCTGCTGCTGCAGCTAGTTCTGCCGGTGTGGGCGAGGAGAGAGTGAGCAGGCGAGTGCATCAAAGCCGGTCGGCAACCGAGCTAACTCACGTTCACGGCAGCACCACGACCACCACGACCAGCAGCAGCTCCCACGCGCATGCCAGCGGAGCTTCAGAAGGCTCATCCACAGCATTACTAGCTGGACCATCTGACCCATCACCCTCAGCGTCAGCAGCAGAGCCAGCAGCAGAACAGGCAGCAGCGGCAGTAGCAGGCAGCAGCAGCGAGGGGTTGTTTGACGGGCTGTTTGGCTTCACCCGCAGCATCACCATCCACGTCATGGGCAGCAGCAGCACCACCCGCCCGCCCCTCCCCTCCTCCTCCCACCACGCCCCCTCCTCCTCTCCTCCATTCGCCTCGGCACACAGGCACAGCAGCAGCAACGCAGAAGACACAGTGCTAGATCTCTCTGCTGTGTCGTCCCGAGTGGCCTTTGATCCGTCTAAGGACCTTCCTCCTGATGAGAGGCTGCCGACGAGCCAGCAGCTGGAGGCTCGGAGGAGGGCGGCGTTGAGAGGGGGTGTGGGGAGCTGTGTGGAGCGGGGGCAGGGCGAGGGGAGGGGCCGGATCGTGCGGTCTGTGTCGGGGGGGAATTGGAAGGAGAACGGGCCGGGAAGAGAGGGAGGAGAGCGAAGAGAGTGGAAAGAGGGGAGAGAGGGGGGAGAGGGGGATGATGGGGGCGGAGGAGGTGGGGTTGGTGGGGAAGGGGGTTTGGCCCGGAGTGGGCTTGGAAGGGCAAGGTTTGATGCCGGGAGACCTCCTGCTGCTGCTGCTGCTGCTTTTGACGCTTGGAGGCCTCCTCCCTCTGTTGCTCGGAAGGGTCGAGGCCGCGAAAGAGAGGAGGGGGAAAGGAGGAGGGAGGAGGACGGGGATGAGAGGGGAGAGAAGATGGGGAGGGCAGGAGAGGAGGGGGTCGATGGCAGAGGAGGTAGCAACGGTGCCGATTCTCCAGCTGCAAGGCCAGCCCAGACGGACGGTCAGGATCGGCCGCCGCTCCCGCTGCGCAGATACCAGTCAATGGGGACCGAGCGAGAAAAAAAAATACCCAGCATTACCACCAGCAGCACCACTACCAGCGGCAACAGCATGAGCAACAAGGGGAACATCTCTAGCAGCGGTAGACAACAAAGCTCCACTGGAGGAGCTTCTTTAAGCGTCATTGGAGGAGCTGCAGGTTCCTCTTCAGCCTCCAACCGCTCCCTGCAGCGCCCCATGGGAGGCTCCCTCAAATTCGACATTCCCCGCATCGACGTCAACGCACTCCCCACCATCCTTGCCCCGCCCTCGCACCCCTCCCACCCGTCCCAGCGCGCCCGCACCCACCTCCCCTTCCCCCTCTCCTCCCACCACCAGCCCTCCTCCTCGTCTTCCTTCCACTCCCGATTGCTCCGCCGGCAAAACAGCTCTCAGAAGCAGAAGGCTGCAGCGGTGGCCGTGCAGCGGCAGCAGCAGCGGCAGAAGCAGCAGCAGCTGGAGCAGCAGCTGCAGCAGGTGAAGCAGAAGCACGGGTTTCTGAGGAGGTATCAGAGCATGCATCCGGGGCTGATGCTGCTGCACCCGCTGCACCTACCACTCGTGTGGAAGCAGGAGCAGCAGTTGGCTGAGCTGAAAAGCCACAGGAGCATGACGGAGCATCGGAGTGTGGGAGAGGCAGCAGCAGATGCAGCTCACGACTTCTCTGCTGCGCTTGCCACTGTTGCTGCTTCTGCCGCGGCGGTCAAGGGCAGCAGTGACAGCTTTTGGGGTTTCAGCAGTGCTCTTGAGGCCGACCACAGCGATAAACCCACCGCTCCTGCTGCTGCAGCGGCTACAGCCACGAGCAACTGGAGTCCCGCTAGAGTCTTTTCTGCCGGACCTGCTTCCGCCGCTGCTGCCACTGCTGCTACAGGTACTTCTCTCAGCAGAACAGGCGGTGCCAATGCCAACCACAATGCCACCCGCAGCCTCACAGAAGATTCTTCCTTCAACCCCTCCTCCTCCACCACCCCCCCTTCCTCTCGCTCCCTCTCCCGCTCCTTCTCCTGGGCTGATTCCGGGCCTTACAGGAGGGATAACCTTAGGTTCGCGGCCACCCTTGCTCTGCGCGAACCTTCCTCCCGGACCAGCCTCCGCAGGCACGGCAGCCTGGCGCTAGGCTCGGCACGGAGCGTTGGTGCTGGCTCGTCGAGGTCTCGCAGGGAGAAGCTGCGGAGGGGGGTGAGTTTCGGTTCAGAGCCGGACCTAGGCTCGGGAAGAGGCTCGGGTGGGGGGTTCGGATCCCCGTCGGAGCAGCAAAGGAGAAGAATCTCCGAGGTTCGGAGGGAGGAAAGGGAAGGAGGAGCGGATGGGGAAGGCGAAGGAGCATCCATAGCAGCAGCAGCAGCAGCAGCAGCAGCAGCAGCAGCAGCAGCAGCAGCAGCAGCAGCAGCAGCAGCAGTAGCAGCTTCGGCGGCGGTGGGAGGAGTTGGGCATATGAATGTGAGGCGGGTAAGGAGTGACGAGGAGCACTTGTCTTCAGTTAACCTGGTTTCACATGGCATGCCGCCGCTTCCCTTGAGAGACAGTCCAAAAGCACCCATAGGCGCCCTGAAGGCCGCTCAGGACAGTCCAAGAATGCCCATAGGGGTCACAAAGGACAGCCCGAAGCCGCCCATAGCGCCCCTGAAGGGCCAGCAGGACAGTCCAGGGTCGCCCATGGGGGGTATGCTCAGAGACAGCCCGGAAACGCCCATGAGTATGATGCAAAGGGAGCTGGGGCGAATCGGTAGTCCCAAGATCCCGGCCCTGGAAGGAGCGTTGAGGCGGGAGGTGGATGGAGACTCGCCCCTGTCTGTCCCTACGCGTGCAGACTCGCCTCTGTCTGTCCCTACGCGTGCAGACTCGCCTCTGTCTGTCCCTACGCGTGCAGACTCGCCCCTGTCTGTCCCTACGCGTGCAGACTCGCCTCTGTCTGTCCCTGCTCGTGCCGTGCCAGTGCTGGCAGTGCCTGCACCCACGCGTGCGACGTTTGAGTGGAGCCAGAGGCACATGCGAGGCCACTCCCCCAGGGAGGCCTCCTCTCCCTCGTCTCTCCGCTCTCCTGCTCCCCAGGGAGATGCAACTGTCGCCACTGCCGCTGCTGCTGCTGCTGCCGCTGCTGGCGCTGCTGCCAGTGCTGCTGTAGTGGGTGGGCCTGCACCTGTTGGTGCTCAGTGGGGTAAGGAGAGCAGGGCGGGGGATGGTAGTAGCAGGGTTGATCCGCGTGCTCCCCTGCAGCGACTAAGGCCCCCTCGTGTTGAGCTCCCTGAAACTGCCGCTGCTGCTGCTGCTACGGGTGCTGCTGGCGCTGGCGCTGCTGCCGGTGCTGGCGCTGGCGCTGGCGCTGGTGCTGGTGCTGGTGCTGGTGCTCCTGTTGCTGGTGCTGGATCAGATGCAAAGCCGTCTCTCTTCCTGCCTCCCAGGTCGCCTGGCACTTTCTCCCACAAGCCCTCCCGCTCTCTCCCTTCACCCTCCTCTGCCGCTGCTCGCCCCGCCTCACCAGCTGATTTGCCCGCTGCAGCGGCGAAGCTGAGGCAGGCCGGCAGCAGCATGGGTGGTGCTGGTGCTGGTGCTGGTGCTGGTGCTGGTGCTGCTCGCACTAGCCATTTTCCCCTAGGCCTGCCTCCCATATCTCCTAGGGTCAGCTCGGCAGGCTCGGGCACCGAGCCTGCAGGTTCGGGATCTGCCAGCATGTTCAGGCATGGCTGGGGAGGCTCAACAAAGTCCCCTCGCTTCCTGCCGGCTGCTCCCAGCATGGCTGGTAGCACAGGAGGCACCATAGAAGCACGCAGCACAGCAGGCAGCACAGGCAGCAGCATGGCCGGCAAACCGAAACACGAGTCCAAAGCAAACCACGAAGCAGAACCGAAGCGCGAATCGGCACCAGAGATGGGCATTGGTATGCACCCGGGGCCCATACAAGAAGACCAGGTCGATCTCATGCCAGAGGGAGCACTGGAGGAGCCAGACGCACTACAAGACAACTTACCAGACGACTCACCGGGCAACCCACCAGACGCCCTACCAGACGTGCCGTTCCTCTTCCCACCCTCCAAGTCCCTCGCTAGAGCGTCCAATGAAGGCAGAAGCCAGTCGATGCTTGAGACTGGAGCCCATATGAGCAAAGACCATCCTCGTCATCACCCCCCTCACTTGTTCCCCCACTCGAGGTCTCTATCTGGCGCCTCTCTCCCTTCTCCCACTAGCATTTTCAAGCCCCCCCTCCGCCGGTTAAACCTAAAGGTTCCCCCTGAATTACACCTGAATCTCAAGTCACCCCGGGCGGACCACCCTCCAAAATCCCCGGGTTCCGTGGCCTTTGCCCTCCCTTTTGAGGTGACTCTTGGGCTGAAATCCCCGGGTCCGTTCAGAATTCCCCCTGAGTTGAGCTCTGGAATGAAGTCCCCTCGGCCGTTTGTTCCTCCTGACCTGCTTAAATCCCCGCTGGCGCTTAAATCCCCGTCTTCTAGAGACTTCCTGGCTAAGATTTTCGACGACACGAACCGAGCGACAATGCGGCCGAGTGCGGTGAAAGGGGGTGCCAAGGGATGGCACAGCCTTCCGAGAGACGCAGGAGGGGTGCAAGGAGAGCGAGGGGAGGTGGAGGAGAAGGAATGGGAGAGAAGGCACACAGACAAAGAGAGTGGACGGGGGATGGAGTGGTTGGGGACGCCTCAAAGGAGCTTAAGCGGGGAACGGGATAAAAGTAAACCAACGCATTACAGAAGAGCTAGTGGCCATGAAGGGATGACGGGGTTTTGGGGGATGAAGGAGGCAGGGGAGGCAAAAGGGGAGGAGGAGATGGAGAAAGAAGCAGGAGGGGCAGCAGAGGAAAGGGGGAAGAGCACGAGGGGAGCAGGGATTCCTGTTGAAAGGGTGGCTGTGAGTGGGGGAGAAGCGACAGTAGAAGGGCTGGCGACGGGTGAAGCAGCAGGTGAAGAGGAGAGGGGGAAGGGGGACGGCAGAGCAGTGGCTGAAAGGGAGAGGGAGGGTGTGAAAGCGGGGCAAGAGGCCGATATGGATGGGGACTGGCAGGGATTTGGCATAATGCAGAGCCCTTTGCTGTCGGTGTCCTGTCCTGCTGCTGCTCCTGCTGCTACTTTGCCTGCTGCTGCGGCTGCGCCTGCTGCTCCCTCTCCTGCCGGGCCTCCTGCCGGGCCTGGTGCAGAGGACGAGTTCCTCTTCAAGCCTCTCTCTTCCTCCACAGCACCCAAAGTGTTGCCACCACCACCCCCAGCCTTTAACACACCGGCGACAACCGCACTACCATCGTCATCATCCCCATCGTCCTCTTCCTCCACAACAGCAGCAGCAGCAACAGCAATAGCAGCAACTGCCGACAGCCCAAGCACGACTCCCAGCTCCATCTCCCAAACCTCTCCCTCCCTAGCCTCAAGCACAGGCTCGGGCTCAGGCTCGGGCTTAGGCTTGGACCGCAGGCGCCCCTCCATCCCGCCTCTCATGGTCCTCGCCCCTTCCGCACCTCTCCCCAGCTCCATCACCAAACCTGCCGCCGAGCCTCCGGCCTCCCCTACCGAGTCTAACCTATCCTCCCCTGCACTGTCTGTGGCCGAAATTCCGTCCCCGCAGGGGGAGGTGGATGAGGACGGGGTGCTGGTGGGGGGAGGGGAGGAGGATGGGGAGGTGGAGGTTGAGAGGATGACGACGTTTTGCGTGCTGGCGATTCTGCTGGAGATGAGGGAAGACCTGGTGCAGTACGCTCAGGGGCTGGATGATGTAGTGCATGTGAGTGGCATATTTGGGGTATGAGAGTGGGGCATGTGAGTTGCACATGCATTGCATCAACCAAGTATCTTTCATTTCATGCGTAGTGCCTTCCTTCCTCTCAACTTTCTTGCTCCTCTCAACCTTCCCCAATTCCCCTCTCCTCCCCACCTCCCCATTACCCCCCCACCCCGCTCACTCTCTGTCAACCCCTTCTGTTCTCTCTCGTTCTCTCTTGCCTCGTCCCAGTATTTCAACCTTGCAGCGACCAGCTGGAACATCAAGAAGCTCTGCAAGAAGGCAGTCACGTACCATCGCAAATATCTTTACCTGGTAAGAATGCTAGTCTACACCTTTCTTGCAACCACTAGGTTGGTTGGCACCACCACAGCCACCTCTTTTTACACACCGCACTCCAAATTACGTTCACGGACATGGCGTTTTCTGTGTGGTGAAGTTCGATTGCATTCTAATACTGTAGTAGCGTGTGGTTTGCTTGTGGTTTGTGTGCCTTCACATCCACGTTTGCTACCCAACCCCTTGAATCGTGCAGAGAATGGCTCGGGCAAACGCCATGTCAATTTACTTTACATAGTTGATGCAGAGCTCAGAATGGTGCCAGATTTGGCTACCCTGAATTTATTGTTAATCACAGGTGGAAAGGCTTGGTCAGGCTAATAGAGCCCTAGAATTTGCTACACTTCTTGCACCAAGGTTGTTGTACCTAAATACCTCTTGCACGAGCCGCGCTCGATACTATCATCACGTCATCCCCTTTCCCGCCGAGTCTACAGAAATGTGTTCAGGGCGTGGTGCATCATATGCAAGCGGGATCCAAGTCTTGGACCCCGGAGCGGGTAACCCTACAAATGTGACACAAACGCGCGCGAATGTACCTCCGCATATTAGGGATGTACCTGGAAACAAAATGATTCTGAACTCGGGGTCAAGCGTTTGACCTTCGCACAAGCGAACGGTAGGGTCAACCAGTCAAAAAAAGTAACATGTCGCGCTGTCGAGGGAGTTACGGCGAAACATACCCAGCCAAGGACTCGTGCGAAATTTGCGAGACGCCCATGCGGGTGCCACGACACGCTATAGCGAAAATGTTGAATGAGCGCACCGCCGAGTTTGTGAACGAAGCGCGTTACGTAACAGAAATTTGTAATCTTGGACCTCGGTTTACAGCTTACAAGCTCAACACGTTGAACCTCTGTCGAGCCTGCAAAACGAACCCACGACGGATTGGACCCCATTTTGCACATGATGCACCACGCCCTCAATGCCCGTGGACACGGTATGGGCAGGGAACTCGGCCAGTGACAACATCGAAAATGCTAGGCGAAGGCATTCAACCAACCAAGATCACAGTAACAGTGAAGTGCAAACAAAGTGTACGCGTTTTCATGACAATCGTAGGTCAAGAAATTTACCGAGTCAGGTCAGCAGCAGCAGCTGCGTCAGCGAATGTACAGTAAACACAGTCCAGGCAGGTCGTGCATTGGCAGTGTGGTGTGGTGTGCGTTCTCTGTAAGAGTGGCCCAAGCAAGTTGCACCATCGAATTGCAATTTGCACCTTGCTTTGTACACCCTGTTCTTCGCTATTGTGAACAGCGGTATACCGAACCCTGTGGCTCAACGCGCCAAATTACGCGCTATAGTCAACTTTTGCACCAGTTCGGTTTGACGAGGTCAGCTACCTTTGAAGACGGTCGGTTGAAATTTTAATACGGTGTGTTTCCGCAGTTCAGTGTAGCGAGAAACAGGGTGTAGTGAAAAAAGCCCGTGTTTTCCAGCTCGTCTTGGGCTTTGTCGTTCCATCAAGAGCTCAGCTTTCAGGTAAAACAGAGCTTTCACCGTGTTGAAGCTTACTGAACCGCACCGCACTAGACGAAAGTTTGCGATATCCCCTTGGGCTTGCCAATGGCAAATATGATTCACGATTCACTACAGCACAAGTTCCCAAAATCCCCCATTCCCATTAGACCTTGGGCTTGCTTTGCTTGTTTCTCTCCCTGTCTCTTGTCCTCCTCACACCATTCGGCCATTCTGTCACACAACTCTTGGTCCTAGCTATCATCCATCTTGGCTGAACAAACACCACCATCCATTCTCTACCCATCCAGTCTGGTCTCTGCTGCGCTGCGTCACATTCGGGTTGCCTCATCAGCGCCTCACTTACCGATTGGTATTACAGACAGACTCTCAGTGGCGTGGCGTCACATGCTCTACAGAATCCAGAAAGGCATTTGACGACAACATGGTGGGTGGATAAGATGACCTAGAAAATGTATCAGTTTCGCACCTGTTCTAGTTTTGCAAGACGTCAGGCAGGCTGCTAGAGTGACGAGGCACTTCGAAGCTGATTTGCGATAGTATTTAAAGGCTTACTTAGTCGCATCAGGTTTCTTCCCTTCTTCAAAAGTTGCTGCGACGAGTATGCTTCTAATGGTGCGCGCAGTCGCTGTTAGTTCGCGACAATGACCCTAGTCCGGTTCGCTTAGTTGTACCCGAGCTATTGCCAGTCGGTTATCAAACGACAATTTGCCTTTAGTTATATGCCATAATACCAGCTTCTCGCGATATGGCCTTAAGCCCTCGCGCCGAACCTCGTTATAGTCTGCGTGCTTAGCTAGAAAATAAGTATTTTGCAATACGCGATGGAGGGTTAGCATACTATCGGGACATTACCGCGCTAGAAGCCGCGCAACGGCTCGACTACTTATTTATCTCGGCTTTATTCCTTCGCGTTGATCTCTTCCGTTTCTATCACAACGCTTTTAGTCACCATGGAGTGGTACGCCCAGCCACAGGACGGCGGCGCGCGTCTCGGCGCGTCTCGCTCCATGCCGCCACGTCAGTATGTAGCCACAACGACGCCTGCTGAAGCTGTTCCCGAACCTCTAAACCGCTCTCCACGTTCGTCCACCCTTCCGAACCACCCGCCGTACCATTATCCGAACCACCCGCCGAACCAGCGGTACCGGCAACTACCCGAACCTGGTAACGACGCTCGGCCCTATAGCGACCAGCACATTCCTCTTTCCGCCGACGCCCCCGGTAAGCGCGAGCGCACCAACCGCGCCCTCCGCAAGGGTATCTCCGCCTCGTCCGCGGAATTAGACCCGCCGAGTTCCGTGCGTTATCGAAATGATGACTCAAGGCAGTGTGACAATATCGGTGGTGAGTACAACGAGCTCACGGAATATCTCTTCGGAGAGGGGGCGCTTGGAGCTGGCGCGCGGGGTTCTGGCGGCGATGAGTACGAGCGCGGATCTGGCGGCGGGATTGGCGGCGTTGCAGGTGGCGGTGCTGGTGGCAGCGGTAGATTCGACGACGCAATAAGAGACGATCCGGGACGAGGGGTCTCTAGTGCTCGGCATGCTATGGCCAAATCTCCGTCTGCGCGCCGTGCCGGCGACAATAACCGACCAGCCGTCAACCGCCGGCAGGGGTGGCGGAGGGGCAGCGACGGGCTGTCAGGTTGGGCGGAGAATCCCGAGGATGTGCCCGAGCCTATGCCCATGGTTCGGCGCCATACCACGGGCATGGGCGGGATGGCAGTTTCGCACGGGGAGAGGGGGAAGGGCGGGGAGGGTACTGGGGAAGACGCGCAGTGGCGGAGCGGGAATCAGGGGGAGAGGGCGGAACGGGCGCACGGAATGCCGCTGCAGCGGCGATCGAAAACGGGACCCGATAGTCTCAGAAGTCACACGTTGGCTGCCGCGGGGAAAACGGCGGGAAACGCCGCAGCAGGGGCGCCTTGGGGAGGTACCGCGGGACACGGGGAGAGCTTCGGCGGTTTTGGCGGGGGGTTCAGAAGCGCGGGCGGCGCGCCGAAGTCTTCCTCGGGCGGATCGGCGCAAAGCGGTGCTAGTGAGGGGCAGATGGCAGGGGAAGCGCGGTTGGGGGCGGAGCAGCAGAGAGCCGCGGGAGGTAGCGGTAGACTGGCGGGCGCGGGAGGCGGAAGTGGAAACAACGTGGGGAGAGAAGGCGCAGGCGGAGTCCCGGGGATGGGGGGACCCCGCGGGGTGCGCGCGGGGAGCATAGGCATCATGTCTCCGCGCCTGCTAAGATTCCTGGTGGACGAAGAGAGCCCCGCAGGCCCGAACCCTAGCGGGGGGTTCGACGACGGGAGGAGGCGTAGCGGAGACGCGCGGAAGGCGAAAGGGCGGGGGAAGGACGCGGGGACGGGGAAAGCGGAGGCCGGCGGAGCAGGGGGGAGAGGAAGCAGGGAGAGGGAGAGAGAGGGAGGGGGGCAGGTTGGGAGAAGGCATGAGAATCTCAGGCATCAGGAGACAGGAGGCGGGGTGACCGCCAGGGCTGCTGCGGCGGCGGCGGCGATGGGGGGAAGCAGCGGCGAGGGGGGGCGGAGATCCCCCAGAGCGGACGCCGCCTTGTACTTTCCCAAATCGCGCAGCGTTGCTGTGCCGAAATCCCCGCTTTCTGCTGCCCCGCGCGTTGTTCCTCCCCCCCTCACGCCCCAGCCCGCGCTTCCCCCGGTTTCTCCCGCCCGCCAACGCTTCCCCAAGTCCGCCTCCTCCTCCGCGCGCGCCTTAGCGCGTTCCGCCAATGCTTCCCCCACCGCTGCTGCCCCAGTCTTATCGCCTCACTCCAGCACCAGTACTGATCTCTATTCCGAATCCGGCTCGTATGCAAGCTCAGGTGTATACTCCCAGGCGTTTCAGGGTTCGGAGAAACAAAGTGCAAGCCCCGTTTATGACCCGCGTACAGCCTCCGCCCCTCCTACTGGTTCCTCCCCTCGTACAGGCTCATCTCCCCGTACGGTTTCAACTCCCCGTGGGGGGTTACTTCCCGGTACTGAAACGTCTCCGCGTACGGGGTCGTCCCTTCGTACCGGCTCATCCCCCCGTGATGCATCATCTCCCTCACACTCTCCCTCATCCTACCCTCCAAAAAGCTTGTATCCTCCTAGCAACTCGTTTTCCCTCCGCCCCTCCTCTGACGATTCGGCCAATTCTGTCTCAGGGGGAGCGGAAAAGATGGGAGGGGCGAAAGGGATGGGGGGGGGCGGAAATGGGGGGGGAAATGGCTACTGGTGCCAATCTCTTCCCCGCCTACCCAGCCTCGTCGTCTTTCTCCTTTGACTCTAAACAGGCTTCGTTACAGTCACCCACGTCCTTGCATTTTGACCCTGCTGGTGGGCATGGTAGTGATGGTTGTGATGGTGGGGATGGGGGAGTAGCGGCGGGTGGGCTGGAACGCATGGGCCATACACAGCCGCAGCAGCCGCAGCAACCGCAGCAGCCGCAGCCGCAAAGAATTTCGCCCTCCGTCTCCCCGCCCTTCCTCTCCGCCCCTACCCAGACCGTCCGCAGCAACAGCGGAAAGTTTCGCCGCCCCGCTGCCCTGGATCTCGGGCAGCTCTCGCCAACCAATCAGCAGGAGCCAGAGGACTTGGTAGAAGAAGACGGGCAGGAAGTTATGGTGCGATTGGGAGATGAGGAAGAGGAGGAGGAGGAGGAGGAGGAGGAGGAGGAGGAGGAGGAGGAGGAGGAGGAGGAGGAGGAGGAGGAGGAGGAAGAAGGGGAGGTGCTTGCACGTGAGAAGTATTTGCTGCAGGGGAGGGAACAGGTGGGAAAGGTAGAAGGGGCAGGTGGGCAGGGGTGGGAGGAAGAGGTTTATTGCTTAGACGAGCCAGATGATGGGATGGAATACCAGAAACAGCAGTACCAGCAGCAGCAGCAGCAGCAGGCACCTCCCCGCACCAAACCTAAGCCCCGAGCCTTGGTGACTGGTTCGGCAGATTGGTCCGGAGACAATGGCAGCACCACGCTTCTAGACTCTTTAGAGCCTCTGGCTGGGGATCCAGATGAGGAAGAGGACGGGGAGGGGTATGGGGGGTACGATTGGGGGGAGATGGGGGAGGGGGAGGAGGAGAATGAGAGAGAGGAGGCTCGGAGGAGAGGGCACAGACGGACGGGGAGTCTGGGAGGGGGTGGGCGGGGAGGGGGAGAGGGGGAGGAGAGTGGAAGGGGGAAGTCCCAGCGACGGCAGGCGTTTATTCAGAAGCTTAAGGGCCTGGCTTCGCCGCGTTTCAGGGAGGATAAGGCGAAGGCGAGGGGGTGGCAGGGGGGTGATGGGGAGGCGGAAGGGAAGCAGGAGGAGGAGAAGAGGAGGGCAGGGGGGAAGGGTGACGGAAAGGCCGGGAAGGGAGTGGGGAGGAATGCAGTGACTCCCCGAGCTGGGGGAGGGGGAGGGGGAGTGGGAGTGGGCGGGTGGGGGCTCAGTATCACAGGGGAGAGAACGCGGAGAGAGGCAGATGCAGTGGTGGCGGCAACAGGGAAGGGCGGAGGCAAGGAGAAGGAGAAGGAGAGGGAAGGGGATCGGGAGAAGGGGCGGAGGATGGTAGAGGCGCTCTTAGATATGCCCACGCGGAGGGTGGAGTCACCACCACGAGGGAAGCCAAGGAAAGAGGTAGTGCGGCCAGGGACAGGAGGCAAAGAGGGGGCAGGAGGGGCAGGCGGAGGAGGAGCAGGGGGGGGAGCAGCAGCAGGGGGGGGGGACTCTTTGCGCAAGAGCACAGAGAGTCTGGTGAAAGAATCAAAGGGGTTGTCGCTGTGGGAAAAGCGCAAAGTCGGAGGGGGAGCAGGAGGGAAGGGGAGCGAGGGAGGTGGGGCAGGAGAGATTAAGACGCCTAGCTTCCTCCGCTCTTTCACCCAGCCTCGCTCCTCCAGCAGTAGAGGCTCCAAAACACCCAAGGGGAGCACCAGCGCAAGCACCAGCGGCGGCACTAGCAACACTGCTAGCACCAGCTCCGGTGGTGGTGGTGGCGGCGCTAGCAGCAGCAGCGGCATTGGCATCAGCTTGACCTCACGGTCGTTTAAAATGGATCATAAATCGGATCACAACACGAGTGTGGGCGGCAGCAAAACGCCAAAGGAGGCCAGCCAGCACAGGTCGAAGCGATCCGGGTCGGGCACGTGGGGAGGGGGGCTGGTGGCTGCAGTGGAGGGGTTTAGCCGTAGCCTCACTGCTCCTAAAGGCTCCTTCGGCTCTGCTGCTGGTAACGCCTCTGCTTCTTCTGCTAGTAACGCCGTTGCTGCTGCTGCTGCTGCCGCTGGCACTGGTGGTACCGGTGGTAACGCTGCTGCTTCTGCCGGTGCTGCTGCTGCTGCTGCTGCTGCTGCTGCTGCTGCTGCTGCTGCTGCTGCTGGTGCTGGTGCTGGTGGTAATGGTGGTGGAGGTGAGGGCGGTGGAATGAAGAAGGTCAAAGGGTTGACCGTGTCAACGTCTCCCCGTCGCCTCAGCATCGGTGGCACCACCACTGCCGCCCAGTCCTCGTCTCCTTCCTCTACTTTCACCGATAACTCGCAGAAACACTCCCCTGCTTCTGCCACCAACACTCCCACTGGTGTATCTGCTGCCGCTGCTGCTGCCCTTCTCTCTTCCACCACTGCTGCTGCCGCTGCTGTTTCTGCTGCTGCTGCTGGCGCTGGTTCGTCTGGTTCTGCTCCTGCCGTGTCAGGCTCGGGCCGAACTGGCTCGTCCACGCCAAAGAACGCAGCAGGTTCGGGCAAAGCCTCTTCGCCTGGCTCTGCCAGTGCCACCGGCAGTCCCTCTGCTAATTCCCCTGCTGGTGCCACTGCTAATGCCCCTGCTGCTGCCGCCGCTGGCGGTGCTAGTGCCTCTGGTACTGCTAAAGGGCGAGCAGACACGAGGAGCAAAAGCCCTCGCACCAACAGGACTAAAAGCCCTGGGAAGATAGACGAGCACGGTTCTGGGAAGCTAAGCTCCGGGCAGACCGAGAAGAAAAGCTCTTCGCGAACCACCAGCCCGAAAACTCTGAGCCCCAGGACTCCCCGCGGCGACGGGCAGCAGCAGCAGCCGGGCTCGGGCAGCACGGAAGGAATTTTCGAGCGCGGGTTCACAGACATCCGGAAGAAATTCGAGGTCGGGCAGCAGATCGGGCAGGGGCGGCGGGGAGTGGTGGTGTATATGTGTGTGGAGAGGCGGACGGGGCGGGCGTATGCGTGCAAGGCGATTGACAAGGCGACTCTGGTGGAGGCGAGGAAGGTGGCGGCTGTGCGGGCTGAGGTGGACGTTATGAGGAAGCTTCTGGGATGGCCGCACGTGGTGGGGATTAAAGACGCTCTAGAGGATGAAAAGGTGAGGGTTGGGGCTGGGCTGTTGGTGTGGCTTGGGGACGGTTAGAGTGGGGCTCAGGAAGGTGACGGGTGTGTCTCCTGGGATGGCCGCATGTGGTGGGGATCAAAGACGCACTAGAGGATGAAAAGGTGAGCGCCAGGGCTGTATGTGTGGTTTCAACAATATCCAACAAACTCTCGGAGGTTTTGCTTTTTGAGATGAACCCACCAACTCTCAGAGACTATGGCAATCGTAATGGAGCTGCTTGGGTATGGGGCATGGGGCATGAGGCTCTCACCTTCTCAATCGTGCCTTCACCTTCTCAATCGTGCCTTCACCTTCTGAGGCGCCTCAAAAGTGACCTTCTCCCTACCCATAAACCACCCCCCCTCTCCCTCCCCGCCACCCCTCCCTCTCCCCACCCGCCTCTCCCGCCCCCTTCTCCCTCTATCCCTCTATCCCTACCCCATCTCCCTCCCTCCTTCCGCTGCCCTCTTTCCCCGATCCCCCTGTGTCTTCCCCTCTTTCCCCCCACCTCCACTCCCCCTTGTCTCCCCCTCCCTGCACCCCAGTGCGTGTACATTCTCATCGATCTCTGTTCTGATAAAAGAAGTGTTTTGAGACGTCTCAAAACACCCCAGTGCATGTACATTGTCATCGAGCTCTGTTCTGGAAGCGACTTGCTCTGAGCGAGAGGCCACCACCATCCTGCGTGCGCTGGCGGAAACTTTGCGGTTGTGCCACACCCAGCATGCCCCCATTCCCCCGTCCCCTCTCCCCTTTTTTCCCTCTCCCCTCAGTGCGTGTGTATCTTGATGGAACTCTGCTCGGGCGGCGACCTCCTCGACCACATCAACTCCTCTCCTTTCATCTCCGCCTCGGAGAGGGAGGCCGCCATCATCCTGCGCGTGCTTGCAGAGACACCAAAGAGCACCCACAACCAGCACAGCACGCCCTCCCCCCGCTCCCCCCTCTCCCCCGCTCCCCCCCCCCCCCCGCCCCTCCAGTGTGTGTATATTTTCATGGAGCTCTGCTCAGGAGGAGATCTCCTGGACCACATCAACTCCTGGCCCTTCATCTCGGAGCGAGAGGCTGCCATCATCCTGTGCGTGCTTGCAGAGACACCACACCTACCCACGACCATCACGCCCCCTTCCCCCGTCCCCTCTGCCCTTTTCCCCTCTCCCCTCAGTGCGTGTACATTTTCATGGAGCTGTGTTCAGGAGGCGATCTCCTGGACCACATCAACTCGTCCCCATTCATCTCGGAGCGAGAGGCCGCCATCATTCTGTGCGTGTTCGCAGAGACACCACACACACACACAAGCCCACCTTTTTCCTGTTTCCCCCTCCCCCCATCCCCCCTGTCCCCCCCCCTCCCAGTGTGTCTATATTTTCATGGAGCTCTGCTCGGGGGGGGACCTGCTGGACCACATCAACTCCTCGCCCTTCATCTCGGAGCGGGAGGCTGCCATCATTCTGCGCGTGCTCGCGGAGACGCTGCGGTCGTGCCACAACCACGGCATCATGCACCGCGACTTAAAGCCCGAAAACATCCTGCTCGCACAGCCCGGGTGCTGGTGGGACCTGCGATTGGCCGACTTTGGGTTCTCCGTTCATCTTAGAGCTGGTGAGTGGGTGGGGCTATGCTCTTCTCTTCCTCACACACACAGCTACACGGCCACGCCAAGCCCATAGCCACACGCACAGCCGCAGCCACACCAGTACCCACGGCCAAGCCCTTAGCCACGCCCACGGCATCACGCTCCGAGACTTAAAGCCCGAAAACATCCTGCTGGCGCAGCCCGGGTGCTGGTGGGACCTTCGCCTGGCTGATTTCGGATTCTCTGTGCAGCTTAAAGCCGGTGAGTGGGTGGGCTGGCTGGGCCCTGCTTTCTCCCACACCTCGCCCTCCCATCACAGCCACCGCCACAGGCACAGGTATACACACAGCAACAGCCAATTATCAGACATGCTCGTGTCTCCTGCCCCGTGCCCCATGCCTCCTGCCCCATGCCCCATGCCCCATGCCTAAATCCCCTTGTCTCATGCCTCCATCCAACATCATAAAATCATCTCCATGAGAGCGCTTAACAGTCTATGCGGGCCCTTGTGCTTCATGCCTCACCTCATGCCTCAGAGTGCTGGACCGCATGTACGGGCACTCATGCCTCAGAGTGCTGGACCGCATGTACGGGCACTCATGCCTCAGAGTGCTGGACCGCATGTACGGGCACTCATGCCTCAGAGTGCTGGACCGCATGTACGGGCACTCATGCTTCATGCCTCTCTCCTCAATCCCCACCTCTTGTATGTTTCCCCAGGCGAGCGCATGATAGGCTATGCCGGGTCGCCATTCTACATGGCGCCAGAGATGCAGGATAGCGTGTACGGGCACGGGCCAGACGTGTGGAGCCTCATGCCCCACCCCCTTCCTGGTGCTTGTTGATCCAACAGGCGAGCGCATGACAGGCTATGCCGGGTCGCCATTCTACATGGCGCCAGAGGTGCTTGACCGCGTGTACGGGCACCCATAGCTTAACCCCCATACCTTAACCTCTTGCCTCATATTCTTGCCTCCTCGCCATACACCCGATCCCCCATTTTGTTCTTCCAGGCGAGCGCATGACCGGCTATGCCGGGTCTCCTTTCTACATGGCGCCGGAGGTGCTGGACAGCATCTACGGGCACGAGGCAGACGTGTGGAGCCTGGGGGTCATTCTCTACACCATGCTCTCCCAGAAGCTGCCTTTCTGGGACGACACGGACGCGGGTGTGTATCGGCAGATCAAGCGCGCCCAGGTGGACATGGAGAGCGGCGTGTGGCCCGCGATCTCGGACGAGGGGAAAGACCTCGTGTTGGGGATGCTGTCCGCGGACCCTCACCAACGAATCACCCTCGACAGATTGCTTGGTGCGTGCCGTGTGAGGTTGTTGTAATGATTGTTGTAAGGCATCCGACGAGGGCAGGATCTGGTGCTCGGGATGCTCTCGGTGGGCGTGCACCAAAGATTCGCCCTTTGTAGATTGCTCGCTGCGTGTTTCAAATGTGTGAGGATTTTAGTTGACTCAGAAGCGTGCAATGAGTCGATGAAGGATTCAGAGGGATGCAAGAAGCAGCACAGGGAATTCAAAATGGAAATGATAATCCCAATCGATCACTCTCGATCGATTGCTTGGAGCAGGTTGTATGAGGGGGGGGATTGTTGTGCAAGGAATGTTGTCAGAGTTCATTGGGATGCATGGGATGGGATGCTCTCAGGAGGAGCACACTGCAAATTGCACACCACTGCATCGCTCAAGCCCGCTTCATGCCTCGTGTTTCTGCCTTTGGATCATTGCAGCTCATCCGTGGATGGCAGCCAACGGCTGTGATATGCCGCCATCGCCGGCACACAGCACGGCCTCTTCAACCGACACGTCAAGCCTCTCTGGCAGACAGAAAAAAGACATTGCTCGGTCTACAGGCACCATATTCTCCTCGCTCGGAATGCCCTTTTGCCGTGTCTATCAAGGTAATGACGACGATGAGGATGATGACCAAAGTGTATCCGGCTTAGCATAGACAATTAGAGGTTTATGTTGCCTTGGAGTTTATATTGTAGATTTACATATTTCTAAAAAACATTACGACCGAAGTGTAGTACGTAGGTATCAGTTCTGCCGAACCTGTAACTTATCCGGTTCTGTTCAACACCTTAGTGGACGTGCGTGAGGTTCGTCGAGATTTGCATTCAATGCTTGATGTCACGCGAAGGAAAACGCCAGATTCTGCGTTGGCCTGCCCTCATCCACCACACAGTTCATGCCTCAGGTTAGTGGCACTGCTGGAATGCCGAAGCCTCGGATTCGCACATCCGTTTCTGGAAGCTCAAAGGGCGACCAGGTGTTTTTCCGGGATGAGGTGCAACCGTTGCATGCGACAAAAACAAATACATTTTGTTTCGGATTGCGACCGTGCAATCCAGTATAATAACCATTGCTGACGTCCAAAAGGCAAAACGGCTATTTCACAAACAGCAGCAAAACGGGTGTCGTCCCTACTATCTTTGTAGAGTGGTGTACAAGAAACGAAATCGTGGCCCACGAATCGAACTCACAGGTGCCTATGGAACAAGCTTACCAGTGATAAGAAAACCTCAGTTTACTGAATTTGATTGTTCTGGAAAAAGCGTGTAACGAATTGTGGGCTTGTGCCGCGTGTTGAACCCAGTGCGCGAACTGTATCCCACGTCGCATCAGATTTTACAACCATGACCAAGACGCGAGAAGTACTGTTACTTGGAGCTGGGGGGCACTGGCTCAGCCAATAGAAAAGCGTTTCGTTGCAAGCTGGAGTTTTCAAACAAAAGATCGCCGCGTGGAACTGCTCCGCATGCCAACAACATTATTTCGCAACGCACCGCATCAACCCGCGTTTTGTCCTTCACACTCGTCGCATAAAGCTCTGCGAAACTCTCATCATGAAGGCTTAACGAATATGCTCGGTTCAAGTCGTTGCAAGTTAATTTTACAAGGTTTTGTTTTGGTACTGCACGGTTGGTTTCGCCTCCACTGGTATCTTTCTTCCCTGTTTTCGTTTGATTTCGTTACGATGCACCTCGCATTTATCCCCGGCCACCAGCTGTGAAGGGCTTGCAGAATCACGTGTGTGCTTCTGCCAGTCCAACCACCCACCACTTCCCATCATCCCGCTTCCCACGTCTCTTTCGAACGCCATCCACTCCAATTTACGCCTATCCATCTGTGAGTGTATCTAGCAGCCCGAGTCACCTAACCGCCACTCTCTGAGCTAGTAGGAGCTGCCAGCTCCGTACGTTGACTGCTGCATCCCACTCCGCAACCCTCAGTACTCCTCTATTCTCGTTTATTCTTCCGCATTCCTCCGTATTCTTGTTATTCCTGTGTTACTTACCGCCAGCTTCGATCGTCCAATCACAAAACTCCAAATGGACGACGAACCGCCGATACTCGCGTATCCCAGTAATAGGCAAGTCCCGTGGGACCCCGCTCAGCGTCCGCCATCCCCGCTCAATCCCGCCGCTAGACGCTTCCCCGCGCCCATTCCTCCCCGCACTTGCGCGCAGGAAGCTTCCGCCAGTCCTTATGGTGCGAGTCCCCATAGCGGAAGCCCCTATGGCGCAGTCTCTTCCGCTTCCCCGGTTCCGCTCCGCCGGTATAACTCCGTCACCTCCCCCGCTCCGCCGCCCGTTTCCGTTCCCCCCGCCGGATCTTCCCCCGCGCCCAAGTCTCCCCTCTTCCGCACGCCCTCGCTCGGCACCCCCGTGCGTATCTCCGCCGCTAGAGAACAACCGTCGCCGCCCATGTTTCTCCCGCCCACCGCCTCGGGGTCCCTCCCGATAGCAGTTCCGCTCTATATTCCGCCCAACCACCCCCCCGTGGGGCCGGCGGACCGTTCATTTGCGCCCAGCTGCGCGTATGAGCCGCGGGCGCAGCATCTGGACCGCGCGTTTGCGCACGACGGCGGTTGCGCGTATGAGCAGCGGGTGCCACCACGGGGACCTGCGGCCCCGCTCGCACGGGGAAACAGCGGCGCCGCATCCCGCCGCGCTGCGCCGATTCCGCGCCACTCCTCCCTCCCCCTTGCGGCTTCCGCATATCCCAGCGGGAACTACTCTTCCGCCGTTTCGAACGGCCCTTGTCCCGCTCCTAGTAACAATCAGCGACACGCGAAAGGGCCTGCTGGTAACCTGGTGACCAGCGGAGAAGACAGCGGGAAATATGTTCAGGCGGGCGGGTGGGAGAAACCGTTTATTCATCGATCCACGTCAGCACCCGTGCCTGATGACGAGGCTTGGGAAGAGGAAAGGGAATATGAAGAGGGGGAGGAGGAAGAGGAGGGAGAGGACTGGGAGGAGGAGATGGGGGAAAATGAGATGGCGCCGGAAGGGGAAGGGCGCAAGGGGGAGATGAGCGGCGCAGGCGGATGGCAAGTGAGTGCGCGGGCTGGGGGGCCGGCGGGAGGGGAAACGCGGGGGTGGCGCGGGGAGGAACCCCGGCGGCAACCGGACAGGGCTTATCTGACTAGCCCGTACGACCAGCAGCAGCAGCAGCAACAGCAGCAGTCACACCTTGCGAGGCATTTAAGCCTGGAGCCGCAATTCGCGGATAACCGATGCGGTCAAACGCGGGGGGACGAGCAGCGGGCGGAAGGGCGGGAGGGGAGAGGCGCGAACCTGCTGCGACAAGCATCGGACGGGCAATGCCTTGCGCGCAACGGCGGGTATGGGCGGGGGGGACGCGGGGACGCGCAAGACGAGCAGGACAGGCAATATCTGGACAGGCAGTGCCCAGATAGGCAGCAACCGGACAGGCAGCAACCGGACAGGCAACAGCCGGACAGGCAACAACCGAACAGGCAACAGCCGGACAGGCAACAGCCGGACAGGCAACAACCGGACAGGCAACAGCCGGACAGGCAACAACCGGACAGGCAACAGCCGGATAGGCAACAACCGGACAGGCGTCATCTGGACAGGCGGCATGCGGATGGCATGTACGTGGACAGGAGCGAGCCGGACCGCGAGCGGCTGATCGAACTGCGACTGCGGCGCGTGGAGCGGCGGCGGCAGCAGCAGTGGCACCACGAGCGGCAGCGCAAGGCGGCCCACCGATTGATGGCGGAGCGACGGCAGCAGTGGGAGCTGTGGCGACAGCAGCAGCAGCAGGGGCAGGGGCAGTGGCAGGGGCAGGAGGAGCAGGGGCAGAAGCAGGGGCAGCAGGGACAGGTGCAGGGGCAAGAGAAGCAACAGGAGTGGTTTCAAAAGCAGCAGCAGCAGCAGGAGCAGCAGCAGGTGTATGAGCAGCAACAACCAGAGAGAGACGAATACGAGAGGGAACAGCCAGCCACGTCACCTTACTCGCAAGCCACGTCGCCATACCAGCAAGCCACGTCGCCTTACCAGCAAGCCACGTCACCATACCAGCAAGCCACGTCACCATACCAGTCTCTCACCCATCGCACACGTTCGCTGCCTCAGCACTACCAGCCGTGCACTGACCACGCCAATACCGCCTGCAATAGCACCACCCTCCCCAGCAAACCTGCCTGCACCAACCACCTGCAGCGCTCTGCCTCGGATGGACGTGCGATGACTGGTCAGGTGGCACCTGACAGAGATTCAACTGACTGTGATTCACCTGACCAGGTGGTTCCTGCCCAGATGCCAGTGCCCAACCTGGTGGCCTGTGGACAGGTGGCACCTGGTCAGGTGGTTCCTCAGCTGCTGCCGAGCAGGTCCCTGCGGCAGCTGAGGAGAATGCCTCCTCTTGACTCGAGAACGCAGCAGCAGCAGCAGCAACAGCAGCCAGACACTCGCACACCCCGGGCACGAGTAGCTGTTCCCGAGCCTACCCAATCCCCCTCGTACCAGACCTCTTCCCCTTACCTCCCTCCTCGCCCCCCTCTTCAATCCCCTCCTACCTCCCCTCCCTACACCTCCCCTTGCTCCCCTCCTCTCTCCCCTCCTGCATCTACCGGAACCGCCATCTGCCACTCCCCTTCCCACTCCTCGCCCTCTTCCTCCTCCTCCTTCGTGTGGCCGAGGGGAAACGGGCCCGACTTTGGGGCAGGCGGGAGGGCTGCATTGGGGGGAGCAGACAAGTGGGTGGCGTGCTTTGTCCCGCAGTGCTGGAACCGCAACTGAGGGTATGAGATCTGATTTTGGATGGAGGCCTGTTCTTAGGCCTGTCCAAGATATAGGTGATAGCATACCGATATACCCTGCAGCATCGGCATGTGTGCTGCTTGCCTGGCATGGCCCACGATAAATCAAAATATGCGCCTTTGCCATTGGTGTTTGGAGCTAGCCTTTATTGCTGTGAAGTACTCCAGTCAGGAGCTTGTACATTTTGCAAGACAGCTATTGCATAGCAATTCTCTGTACATGCAAACATTATTAGTGCGAGCACGACATTGAACACACCTACGCCTACGGTACTACGGTACCGTACGTCTGTGTTGAATGGAACCCTCACTTACGGTACCGTATGTACGGTATTGAATCATGCTGAACTGCATGCAACACAGCAATTCACTTGTACAGCGTTTTTCCCTGTGAGTGAACCATGCTGTTCCTGGCACAAGGAAGCTGTGCTGACTGAAAGTGCTCAATGCATCAATGTAAACCCAAGACGCATCCACTCAAAACTCCTAGCACAGCACTGTTACCGGTAGGTGAACTCTGTTGCCTTTCCCTCCGCAACCACGCATCACACATGCCATCTCCCAGGCCTGCCCTGTCCTCACCAACAGGCTGCTGAGACACACAACACGCGCATCAGCCATTATTCGCTGACTCAGCTCTGCACAGAAGCCTGCTGCTTGTTGCAGAGGGGAGCGGGGAGGGCGCAAGGAGAAAAGGTGGGGGGCGGGTGGGGGATTGCAAGGGAAGACCGAGCGGGGAGGGTCTCTGCTAATCTCTTCTAGAGCAGCCAGTGGTTGCTCCTTTTCTATTGCTGCAGTGCTATTTTTGAGGCGCCGAAAAGCAAGCCGACAGTCAGAGCATGCGGCCTCTCAATCATCCCCATAGTCTGCAACCACACGCCCTCAAGACCACACAAGCAGCTCACCTCGTGGCACGTCAACAGCGCGCACAGCAGGAGCACCTCCCCCCATCTGCCCTCCCCTTTCCTCGTCTCCTCCTGCCCTCCCCTCCATCCATTACCAGCGCATCACAGCACCAGTCGGTCATGCGGGTAAATTGCATCAGGGTCCTTAATCTGGGGGTTACGCCGCAGCACTTCCCCCACGCTCTGCCTGAACCGGTCTGCAATGGTGCTAAGCGTATCCCCCTCTTGCACCTCGTACACGCCCCCCTCCGCCCTGCCCCCACCCTCTCCCCCTGCCCTCCCATCAGCGCTCTCCTCCTTCCTGCGAGCCTCTTCGTATCCCCGGCAGAGGTCTGAGTACCTCTCCTCGTCCAGGCGACTGCACATAACAGTGGGGGGAAGGGAGAGGAATAAATCACGTCAGATGGTGGACTGGACAACATACAGTGGCTGCATAGCCCCGGCAGAGATCGAGTACCTCTCCTCGTCCAGACGACTGCAAGGAGGGAAGGTAGCAGTGGGGAAGGGGGAGGAGACGGGAGGATGAAGACAAGGAGGTCTTGACAACGGGCAGCTACATACTTTTGAGAATTCTCAAAAGTGGAATCAACATTGGAGGAGACGGGGGGATAAAGATGAGGAGGTCTCAACAACGGGCAGCTGCATACCCCCGGCAGAGATCCGAGTACCTCTCCTCATCCAGGCGACTGCAGTTGACAGGTGCAGGGGAGGGGAAGAAAGGGAGAGGAAGGGATTCTGTCAGAGGGTGCACGTGGCAACGGAGTACCTCTCCTTGTTTAGCGGCTCCACAGCCCCGGCACAGGTTCGAGAACGGAGAGTATTCTTGAGGCGCCTAAAAAAGGGGCTCCATATCCCTGGCACAGGCTCAAGTACGGAGAGTTTTGGAGAATTCTCAAAAACTTCCTGCAGCGGCTCGGCTGCAAGGCCTTGGCACAGGTTTGAGTACTCGTCCTCGCCCAGTCCCAGAGACAGCAAGGGCGGGTGAGGTAAGTCACGTGTAAAAAGGGTATTTTTGAGACGTATCCAAAATACCCAGTCCCAGAGACAGCACGGGCGGGTGAGGGAAGTGCAGCATGGGGCATGCAGCATGGGGCATGCAGCATGGGGCATGCAGCATGGGGCATGCAGCATGGGGCATGCAGCATGGGGCATGCAGCATGGGGCATGCAGCATGGGGCATGCAGCATGGGGCATGCAGCATGGGGCATGCAGCATGGGCATGCAGCATGGGGCATGCAGCATGGGGCATGCAGCATGGGGCATGCAGCATGGGGCATGCAGCATGGGGCATGCAGCATGGGGCATGCAGCATGGGGCATGCAGCATGGGGCATGCAGCATGGGGCATGCAGCATGGGGCATGCAGCATGGGGCATGCAAGGCATGCAGCATGGGGCATGCAGCATGGGGCATGCAGCATGGGGCATGCAGCATGGGGCATGCAGCATGGGGCATGCAGCATGGGGCATGCAGCATGGGGCATGCAGCATGGGGCATGCAGCATGGGGCATGCAGCATGGGGCATGCAGCATGGGGCATGCAGCATGGGGCATGCAGCATGGGGCATGCAGCATGGGGCATGCAGCATGGGGCATGCAGCATGGGGCATGCAGCATGGGGCATGCAGCATGGGGCCATGCAGCATGGGGCATGCAGCATGGGGCATGCAGCATGGGGCATGCAGCATGGGGCATGCAGCATGGGCATGCAGCATGGGGCATGCAGCATGGGGCATGCAGCATGGGGCATGCAGCATGGGGCATGCAGCATGGGGCATGCAGCATGGGGCATGCAGCATGGGGCATGCAGCATGGGGCATGCAGCATGGGGCATGCAGCATGGGGCATGCAGCATGGGGCATGCAGCATGGGGCATGCAGCATGGGGCATGCAGCATGGGGCATGCAGCATGGGGCATGCAGCATGGGGCATGCAGCATGGGGCATGCAGCATGGGGCATGCAGCATGGGGCATGCAGCATGGGGCATGCAGCATGGGGCATGCAGCATGGGGCATGCAGCATGGGGCATGCAGCATGGGGCATGCAGCATGGGGCATGCAGCATGGGGCATGCAGCATGGGGCATGCAGCATGGGGCATGCAGCATGGGGCATGCAGCATGGGGCATGCAGCATGGGGCATGCAGCATGGGGCATGCAGCATGGGGCATGCAGCATGGGGCATGCAGCATGGGGCATGCAGCATGGGGCATGCAGCATGGGGCATGCAGCATGGGGCATGCAGCATGGGGCATGCAGCATGGGGCATGCAGCATGGGGCATGCAGCATGGGGCATGCAGCATGGGGCATGCAGCATGGGGCATGCAGCATGGGGCATGCAGCATGGGGCATGCAGCATGGGGCATGCAGCATGGGGCATGCAGCATGGGGCATGCAGCATGGGGCATGCAGCATGGGGCATGCAGCATGGGGCATGCAGCATGGGGCATGCAGCATGGGGCATGCAGCATGGGGCATGCAGCATGGGGCATGCAGCATGGGGCATGCAGCATGGGGCATGCAGCATGGGGCATGCAGCATGGGGCATGCAGCATGGGGCATGCAGCATGGGGCATGCAGCATGGGGCATGCAGCATGGGGCATGCAGCATGGGGCATGCAGCATGGGGCATGCAGCATGGGGCATGCAGCATGGGGCATGCAGCATGGGGCATGCAGCATGGGGCATGCAGCATGGGGCATGCAGCATGGGGCATGCAGCATGGGGCATGCAGCATGGGGCATGCAGCATGGGGCATGCAGCATGGGGCATGCAGCATGGGGCATGCAGCATGGGGCATGCAGCATGGGGCATGCAGCATGGGGCATGCAGCATGGGGCATGCAGCATGGGGCATGCAGCATGGGGCATGCAGCATGGGGCATGCAGCATGGGGCATGCAGCATGCAGCATGGGGCATGCAGCATGGGGCATGCAGCATGGGGCATGCAGCATGGGGCATGCAGCATGGGGCATGCAGCATGGGGCATGCAGCATGGGGCATGCAGCATGGGGCATGCAGCATGGGGCATGCAGCATGGGGCATGCAGCACTGGGGCATGCAGCATGGGGCATGCAGCATGGGGCATGCAGCATGGGGCATGCAGCATGGGGCATGCAGCATGGGGCATGCAGCATGGGGCATGCAGCATGGGGCATGCAGCATGGGGCATGCAGCATGGGGCATGCAGCATGGGGCATGCAGCATGGGGCATGCAGCATGGGGCATGCAGCATGGGGCATCCAGCATGCAGCATGGGGCATCCAGCATGAAGCATGGGGCATGCAGCATGGGGCATCCAGCATGCAGCATGGGCAGAGAGCGGGAATCCAAGTGAGAAGGGAACATGAGAATGGGGTAGAGCGGTGTGAAGTCCTGGAGTCACATGCAGCACCACCAGCACCCACCACCACCCACCCACCCACCCACCACCACCCGGCAGCACCCACCACCACCCATCAGCATCTACCAGCACCCATCCGCACCAATTGGCACCCACCAGATCTCAGCCATGCTGCGGCGATCCCCATGCAGGCGGCGAATGACCATCTCTCGCTGCTGCCTCAACACCAGCTCCGCCTGCTGCCACCTCGGCAGGGGCTTGGGTCCCCTCCGCCACCCTCCGCTGCTGCTGCCGCTGGTGCTGGTGCTGCTGCTGCTGCTGCCGGTGGTGCTGGTGGTGTTTCTTGCTTCTCCTGCTGAGTTGCGCTGCGAGCCCAGAGACATGAACCAGGCGCGTCTGGGGGAAGGGTGCACAGGCAGGGAGAGACGGAAGAGATGCGTTTAAACTTAGTGAGAAAAGAGAGACGTTTCTTTTCTCATGTCATGCCATGCCATGCCAAGTCGTGCTAAGCCATACCATACCATGCCATGCCATACCAAGCCGCGCTTCGCCATGCCAAACCATGGCACCAAGTAAATCCGAGTCTCAAAAGTCACCAGCGCCCAAGTCGTGCTAAGCCATACCATACCATGCCATGCCATGCCATGCCATGCCATGCCATACCAAGCAGCACTCACCGCGCCTACCGTCTGCCCAGCCCTGTCCCCTCGTCCTCTCGAGCCACCTGCTCCGCTCCCCTCTCCCTCCCACCTTCTGAGACGTCTCAAAAGACACCAGCAGCACTCACCGTGCCTCCCGTCCGCCCAGCCCTGTCCGCCCGTCCTCCCGAACCACCTGCTCCGCTCCCCTCTCCCTCCCACCTTCCCTCCCTCTCTCCCTCCCCCCCTCGCTGCCCTCCCGCCCCTCGCCATCGCCATCTGCTGCGTCGGTGGCCGCAGCAGCCACAGGTGTATCTCCAAAGTTGAGCTCAAACACCCCACCAAAGCCCCTGGATGGCGTGGAAGGTGGAGCGGGGGAGAGTGTGGGGATACGGAAAGTGGGGATCGATGGGGAACCACTACGGAGTAGCAGCCACAGGCGTATCCCCAACATTGAGCTCAAACACCCCGCCAAAGCCCCTGGGATGGTGGGAAGGGCGGGGTGGGGGAGGAAGGAAAGGGGGGGACGGGGGGAGTGGGATACGGGAAGAGGATGGATGAGGAAGCACCAAGGACGGCCACTGCGCGAGGTGTGGCCGCTGCGCGATGTGGTCGGTGAAAATACTATCTCATCACACCTGCAAGCACCTCCTCATAGCATTGTCTTACGAGGAGCACGTGACACTCACATGCCGAGGTGTGGCCGCTGTGCAATGTGGTCCGTGAAGCTCGGCCGCTCATACTCCAACGCTCGCCTGCAAGCAAGGGACGTGCAGTGCGGTAAAATGCGGTGCAGTGCATTGCACAGAGGTGTGGTTAGGTAGTGCGAGGATGCAGCAGATTGGAGCTTACAAGGAGGGACGAGACCATTCCAACCTTTGCTGCAGCACCACAGCGATTGAGCCACCTCGTGAGTGACACGCTGCTCATCCGCACTCGCCTCCTTCTCTCCTCTTCTCTCCTTCAACTCACCTCCTCCTCTCCTCTCTTCTCCTATTCTCTCCTTAAACTCACTTCCTCTCCTCTCCTCTCCTCTCCTCTCCTCTCCTCTCCTCTCCTCTCCTCTCCTCTCCTCTCCCCTCCCCTTCTCCCACTCACCTTCTCCTCTCCTCCCGCGTACGTCTGTTACTCCTATTCGCCAGCACCATCGCTCCGCCCACCAGCGCCACAGCCCCAGCAGCAGCAATCAAATCCCACACGCCTCTCCGCCTCTGCTCGCCCTCCTTACCCCTTCGTGTCCTCTCCTCTCCTCTCCATTTCACTCACCTCCCCATCTCCTCTCCTCTCCTCTTCCTTCCTCTCCCCTCTTCCAACTCACCTAATCCCCTCGTCTCCTCCCACTCACCTTCTCCTCTCCTCCCTTGTCCGTCTGTTACTCTTATTCGCCAGCACCATCGCTCCGCCCACCAGCGCCACAGCCCCAGCAGCTGCCACCAGGTCCCACACGCCTCGCCGCCTCTGCTCCCCCTCCCCCTCCCCCACCAGACCCAACGCGTGACTGTGGCTGCGGTGACTGCCACGAGTGTGACTGTGGCGGGAGAGCGAGTGAGTGCTGTGCAGGGCGGTGGAGGTAGAGGAGGCGTTGGAGTGGGTGCGGGAGAGGGGCGAGGCCACTCTGCGAGGACTGCTCAGGTGGTCCGGCTGGTGGCACAGGGAAACAGGCATGGGTACGGCGACAACAGAGCAGGAAGAGGGAGGGAGGGCGGGGAGAGGAAGGCGTTGGAGTGAGTGCGGGAGAGGGACAAGGCGAGTTGACGGAGACTGCTCAGGTGGTCCGGCTGGTAGTGGGGGGAACGGGGGTGCAGAGGGGGTTTGGGTGGGGGGAGAGAACAGCTGTTGTAGTGGGTGCGGGAGAAGGGGGAAGCCACCCGCTCAGGTGGTCGGGCTGGTGGCACAGGGAAAAGACCACGAGTCGGGGGGGAGAAGAGGACAGAGAAGAAAGCGGGGAAGGGAGAGAGGAAGAGAGAGGGGGAGAAAGGAGTTGGAGTGCGTGCGGGAGAGAGGCGAGGCGAGTCCATGTGGACTGCTCAGGTGGTCCGGTTGGTGGTGCATGGTGGGTGTGGGTGTGGGGTGGAAGGACACAAGTTCAGCAGCAGGAGAGGACGGCATGGAAATGAATGCGCAGGAACAGAAGGAGGGGCAGGAGGGTTGTGGAAGAACCAGTGAAGGAAGAGGAGGGGGGGTGGGGTGTGAGGAAGAAGAGAGAAGGGGGGTGTGGGAAGGGGAAAGGAGGAGGAGGGGGTTGGGTTGACGATCGGAAGAGCGAGGGAGAGAGAGGGAGAGAGGGGACGAGGACGTACGAGAACGGGGGTGAGGGAGGTGGGATCAGGCGGAAGGAAGCGAGGAGAGACGTCCACCGGAGCAGCAGATGTAGCAGCAGCCCTGGCTCCAGCACCAGCAGCAGCAGCAGCAGCAGGCACAGCAGCGGCACCACTGGCTCCCAGGTGGCGCTCTCCGCTCTGCTTCTTCTTCTGCTTTGGTTCTAAACCATGGTGATATTCACTCAGACGGTGACTGTTCTGGCGAGCTTCCGTAGCAGAAGCGTGGTGGTGCTCGGTCGGATGCTGATGGTACCGATGGTGCATATGCTGCTGCTGCTGCTGCTGCTGCTGCTGCTCGCGAGGTGCCTCATGCACACGGTTGCATTCATTGGAGTGCTGCGGCTGCCTCTGGCGATGGTACACATGCCGCTGCTCGTGGCTCTCATGCCACGCATCCGCCCTGTCGCCCCTCCAATCATGTGATCGCACAGTTGCACTACCTGCAACTGCCACACCTGCTATAGCTGCACGCTCTGTACGCACTGCCGCTGCTGCCGCTGCTCCTGCTGACACGGCTGCTACTGGCGCTCCCCCCGCGGACCTCCCATGCACACGGAGCGACGGAAGGCCAGCAGGTATGGCACCCTCCATGCTGCGCCTCTCCTCCTCCTGCAGCCCAAACCAGGCCGGTGCATTCTGGGGTTCGGCTGCATGCGGCTTTTGACTCGAGTCAACACCTGGGGAAACACCTGCTTCTCTGTTGGTGCTTGAAAGCGCCTCTGAGTCTGGCGGCTCTGAATCTAACGACCCTCCAGCAGTTGCTAAGTTACACAGTTGTTGCTGCTGCTTCTGGTGCTGTTCCTGTTCTTCTTGTTGCTGCTGCTTCTGCTGGTTAGACTTGGAGAGAGGCGCAGTGGTGGAAGTAGGAGGGCCTGCAAGTGCTGCACCTGCAAACGCAGCTGCCGTCTCATCCCCTACTCCTGCGCCTAATTCAGCAAAGTCAGAACCCAAGAAAAGCCCACTCATGTTGCCAGTACCAGCAGCAGCACCGGCACCAGAAGCAGCAGCAGCAGCGGCAGCGGCAGCAGAAACAGCAGCAGGGGTGGTCGAGGGAAGGGTGATGGAGGCCGCGCGGGTCAAGTCAGCGAGAGAAGGAGCAAGAGAGGACGGCTGAACACAAGGGTTGGATGAGAAGGACGAGGTGGAGGTGGAAGAGGCGGAGGAGGAGGAGATGAGTCTCTGGCGAGCAGCAGAGGAGGCCGTCACCATGATGCCGTCAAAATCCTGACGCACACAGATGCAGGCAGGCAAGCACGCAGGGAGGCAGACACGCATAGATGCAGGGAGGCAGGCAGGCACGCACACACGCAGATTGCATATCGATGAAAAAGTTTTACTCACGCTATCCTCACCAGCCGCTTAGGCAGGGGTCACGACTCTCAACTTGATGCCCGCTCCCCGCAACCTCATACGCACACCACACCACTCACCGTAATCCCCACTAGCCGCTCAAACAGTGTGCGCAGGCACAGGCACAGGCAGACGCTACGTTACGGGTCACGCCACATCCCTCGCAGCAGATGCCATGTGCAATTCCTGAACAGCAAACCCATACACAGCTCTCACCCGGATGCCCACTAGTCGCTTGGACAGCGTGCGCAGGCACAGGCACACGCGCCGAACGTCCCTGCCATCCACGAGGTCAGGCGAGGTGAAGAGCGATACGTCCCTCAGACCCACCAGCCGACACACCTGGGGAGACGGGGGGGGGTGTCAGGAGAACAGCGGGGGAAGATGGGGGAGAGCAGGGGACATGGGTGTTAGGGGGTGCCGAACGTCCCTGCCATCCACGAGGTCAGGCGAGGTGAAGAGCGATACGTCCCTCAGACCCGCCCGCCGACACACCTGGGGAGAAAGGGGGGGACATCAGGGGAACAGCGGAGGTCATGAACGCAAGGGAACGCTGAGCTTCTCTTTCATCCACGAGGTCAGGCGAGGTGAAGAGCGATACGTCCCTCAGACCCGCCCGCCGACACACCTGGGGGGAAGGAAGGGGGAGGAGGAGGCGGGGGACACGGAGGGAGGAAAGGGAACGCAGGGACGACTGGTGGTGCTGAGAGTCCCTGCGACCCACAAGGTCGGGCGAGGTGAGGAGAGTTTGAGTGCCCTCTGAGCCACGCGGCCGGGCGAGGAGAGCAGCGAAAAGCCCACCGGCTCACCTTGAGAAAGCGCTCCACATTCGTGCACGCATGCCAGTACGCGCGCTCACTGTTGAGAGGTCTCATTGATCCATCCAGCACAGCCACACCAGGAGTGACGACGGCTACGCCTTCGTACCTTCCAGACGCCCACACCAGCGGCTCTCACCTTCAGAAAGCGCTCCACGTTGGTGCACGCATGCCAGTACGCGCGCTTAAAGCCCGACCCGCCCGCCGCGCCAGCACTCTCCTCGCTGGAACAGCTCCCGTTCGCGCTGCCGCTGCCGCTGTCGCCACCAGCCGCTGCACCAGCTGCACTAACCCCAGTACCAACCTCCGCAGCAGCACCACTCTGTGTAGTGGCGGCGGTGGGAGCGGGCGCGCGGGGGTTCGCAGGCGGGGCGGCGTCAAAGTCTGCCGTCAGGGGGACGCCAGCGGGGGAGGGGGACACGTCGGGCGCAAGCAGCTGCTGCACCAAACACGCGAGCTCGAGCCTGTATGGGGGAGGGAGCGGGAAATTATGAGACGTTTCAAACTCGGAGGGAGGAGCGTCCGGCGCGATCAGTAGGCGGGAGGGAAACGGTGGGTGAGAGGAGTGGGGGGAAAGAGGAGACGGAATGAAGACGGAATGAGTAAGTGAGAGAGGAGACGGAACGAAGACGGAATGAGTAAAGGGAGAAGAGACGGAACGAAGACGGAATGAGTAAAGGGAGAAGAGACGGAACGAAGACGGAATCGACGATCAGAGGTATCGAGGAGCAGAGGCATCGATAACTAGAGGCATCGAGAACTCACAGTATTTCGCCATCTCCTAGCAGATCGCTCAACGGCTTATCGGCGGGAAGCGTTCGCGATAAAGTCTGCGACAGCCAGCGACGAGCTTGCGACTGAATGGAGCGACAGCGGGGATGCGAGTGAAGAGACGGACGAAGAAAGATGGTAACGATAAATGACGTGGAGTGTGGGGTATCTTGAAAGCGATCGACGACGGCGACAATCATAAGGTAACTCTAGGAAGAATGAGATGCAGGAACGAGCTTCTACGGAAAGTACACGATATAATACACTAATCGAGGCCACGGCTTCAAACGAAGCTTTGAGGCAACATCGATCTCCTGCGCATGAACCCACACTGCATGCACCTTCACTGACGCGCTACCTCTAGGTATTGCTCGTCGATGGACGCAGCACCGCTTGTTACACTGGCGACTGTCGCAAACGAAGTCGCGTGCGGAATGTGCGACTGGGCTGGCTGCGCCGGCGACGCGGAAAGGTCAGATGCTACCATTGCGAAGGCAAGCGACAGATTCGTTCAGCTGACGAAGAGCAAGCACCCCTGCGACGAAAGCTCAATAACTTAACCGGCCAGATTTGCGATCACGAGACTACGTCCCTTCCACAGAGTCTAGACGGCGGATCGGCAACACCCTTCGCATCGACGCGCTACGACGTGCACCTGCACGTGATCGCCACTATGCGACCCCACCAGCTAGCTGATCGCGAGTGACTCTACTGGTTGATCAATTCTGTGCTGTGCCTGCTGCGATTGTCATTCTTCTGCATAACTTTCTCAACGAGCGGGAATGTCGGGGTGGAAGCAAGCGGAAGTGATGTGCGCGGGGAAGCGGAATATATCAAATGCAGGCTCTCCGCCCTCCTTTGATTCTTTCCAAGCGCAAGCCCTTCGCGGACCTTGGGGTGATCTTGGTGGAGGGAGCAACGCGGGAAGACTGACGCAAGGCCGCTGATTGGATAAGCTCGTATTTGGCGGTAAACTTCCAGGTTGTCAGGACGCGTCACTCCGTGAGAAATCGTTCCTGCGCAGGATCCATCGCGAGGTGATTCAGGGAATGGAGGCTGCTTCGTTTAGTGCTGGACTAGTTGGCTTTGGCTGACGCAAGGAATCACTTCATGGTCTGAGCAGACCAATGCTCTAGCAACTTCTACAATTGCTGGTCAACTAGAAGTATTGTCACCAGAACTTGATCACTATTTTCAGCTCAACATCTAACAGCAACTTGAGTTCCATTATAATTAAACAGCAGTACAACACATTAGCTTTGTACTAGGTAGTTGCCATGAAATTCTAGCAGCTCTTGCTTGAGCAATTAAGGTAACAAGAGAATGCTGTTGAAGATATGTTTATGCACCTAAATAACCTGAAAGACGCAACCAAGAATGTTAGTCCTCTGGCAGAGACTTGTAAGGAATGAAACCAAAGAAAGACTAACAGCTCACCTGGGTATAGTTCGACTTATGAAGATACAATGTTGATGCACCTAAATAACCTGCAAGTCGCAACCAAGAATGTTAGTCCTCTGGCAGAGACTTAAAGGAATGAAACCAAAGAAAGCATAACAGCTCACCTGGGTATAGTTTTACTGTCTCATGCCTTGGGAGGGACTGGCTGCAGGCAGGAGGCATTGAGCCATCCTCCCCTACCCCAGGGAGGACTGACTGCAGGCAGTAGACATTAAGCCATCCTCCCCCACCACAGGGAGGACTGGCTGTTGAGGTTTGAACCATCCTCCCCCACCACAGGGAGGACTGGCCCACCCTCAGGGTTGCTAGTATCAAGACTTGCGGGAGCCCATGTGCACACGCCGGTTCTGTCAAGTAGCAGAGCTGCTGCAGTCAGCTCTACTACCGGACAGAACCATTGTGTGTGTATGGCCCGGATTCGAGATTAGCCAACCCCAAGAGTGCTCTCAACCATGCCTTGGTGCCTTAAATGCCACTTGCCACGCCAACCCCTCATGGGGCACCTGCAGGAGACAAGAGAAAACGTCAGTACCTTGGTAAAAGCAGTTAGAAAAGGCTGGAAGTTACATATGTACCTTCGTAAAGAGGATGGTGAGAGCCTTGAGTGGAAACTGTTGGTCGAAAATCTCCACTGCTGAAATGCCTGCAGGGTGAAAAAACGAATGTCAGTTTGGGTGCGGAAGAAATAAAAAAGCTGAAGGTTGAAATCAGTACCTTGGTGACCTTGAATGCTGAGATGCTTGACTTGTTGAACATCTTGAGGGACGAGTGGCCGTTGAAGGACTCAAGAGGTGACGTAACTGCGGAAAGGAAACAAAGAGACGTTAGTCAAGGTTAAAACGAAACTCAAACAAAAAACGATTTAAGAAGTCAAGAACGTTACCTTGGGGGCCTTGGATCTTGGGATGTAATGCCAATTGTTGAAGGTCTTGAGGGGCAAGAGGCTGTTGAAGGGGCTTGAGTAGTGAGGCACCTGCAGAAAGAAACCAAGGAGAATCAGTCAAGGTTGAAACGAAAAACGGACAAGTAACAAGGCAAATCAAGAGCGTTACCTTGGGGGGCCTTGGGTGTTAGAATGTTTAAGGCTTGACCGTAGCCTTGATGAATTGAGCGCAGTGTTGCTCTTGATGGCGGAAGAGAATCTGCCATTGAAGGATAGAGAAGGGAGAATGAGTAAGTACATGTTGTAGCAGTAGAATGTCCAAACGAGCAAGGTAAGTAAGCATGTGTAACACGATGCAAAAGCGCTTAACACAACCGCTATAAGAGCCAAGTACCAGAAAATACCAGTAAGAGACCTAAAGAACTCACCAGAGACCTGATACAAAAAAATACCATCTAAGGGGAATGACTCCTATAGCAGTTGTGCTAAGCGCTCCAGCATGACAAAAAAACGATGATGAAAAACATGAGCGGGAAAATGAGTTGAGAGAATCAAGATAAGGTTGATACTTATCTGTAATCGAAGTTCAGATCTTGAGTGTTGGTAGGTTGACGTTTTGATTTCGAGTCTTGGTGTAGACTACTGGCTTCGAACCGCAGCAGCAAAGTTGGCTCCAGGAAGTCGCTTCAATGATGGCTTGTTGAAGGCTGGACCGTAGCCTTGATGGCGTTGAGCGCAGTGCTGCTCCCAATGACGTCCAAGAAGAGCATCTGCCATTGAAAGATAGAGGAGGGAGAGTGAGTGAGTACATGTGGCAGTAGAATGTCCAAACGAGCAAGGAAAGTAAGCATGTGTAAGGCGGGTGGTACGGGTATGCAGGAACACGATGCAAAAGCGCTTAACACCACTGCTATCAGAGCCAAGTACCAGAAATACCAGTAAGGGACCTGAAGAACTCACCAGAGGAAGTACCTGATAAAGAAAAATACCATCTAAGGGGAATGGCTCCTATAGCAGTTGTGGTAAGCGCTCCAGCATGACAAAAAACGGTGATTGAAACCATGCGTGGAAAGTGAACTTGAAAGAAAAACAAAAGGGTTGACTGATACTTATCTGTATTGTATTTGCAGATCTCGAGTGTTGGTCAACGTCGTCTTGGCTTGCAGATCTTGACTGTTTGATCTTGACGTGATGAAATCCGACGGTGCAGCGAGACTTGCTTCTCCCAGGTGATCAAGCATCGTCGCGAAGAACCTGCAGAAAAACGAAAGATAAGGGAGTCGCTTTAAGTTCACAGTGACGGAAGGACGCGATAAACGAAAAAATGCGACGAAGCATGGGGGAAGGGGGGGGGGGGGGGGGGGGTATTCCAGCCAAAAACCGCACCGTAAAGCTCAGACAGACCGACGCATCTATGCACGACTTAGCGACGCTGACACTAGACAGACCTACAGAGAGACTAACACAGACCTAGGGGAAGAGACAGGGAGCTCTACGGGCGTTATATGGGCTGGAAAACAAACAGAACGGATGAAAAAACGAATTGCTGGCACGATGAGGGCTAAGTGAGTACTTAGCTGGAAAGATGAAGATCGGTGATGAACGTAGGCTGGAGTTTGAAGGACCGTTGAGCTGGTTGAAGAATGACGGATCCGTGCCGCCAGCGTCGCGATGAGTGCAGAGCGGAGGTCCAATGGCTCGAGTGACCTTGGACGGCTCGATCATGCTTGAGCAGCTTGCGAAACATGAGCAACGGCTTCAGCTTCCTTGGTAGAAGTCGAGTTGCACACGTGCAGACGTTGAACACGTTAAGCTAGAAGATCGACGTGGAGTCGTAACGGAGAAACTCGTCGTTGAAATCAGAAAGCAGGAGACTGATGTGCGAGACAACAGTAAAACGTTGCTATTTATGATTGCACAGCCACGGATGTGGGACCTTGAAACTGACTAGACGGTAGTAGAGGAAAAGCAAGGGAAGGGAACGGAAAAGCGAGGAGCTCCCACCCAAGCGACTCTGTCTCGAGTCGCATGCATTGGAGTTGGTGCTAACATCAACGGATACGCGGCAATTGCGGGAGAATTTTAGGAGCCGACAGTGTTGGTTCAAAGGGAGACATTGGCGGTGGGGATTGAGGCAGCTGATATGTGTCAGGGAGATGGGGTGGATCCTCTTAGGGTTTCATGGGGAGGGATGTGAGACCTTGGGTTCTGTGGGATTGGCGAACGTCGCAAAGTGTCTTCTGATGTGGGGTTCCTGTTTTCGCTACTAGGGCGGTGTCGTCACAGTCAGATTGGGTGACGAAAGTTGGGCCACCACCACCCTCATGATTGGCTCGTCAAATCCGGTTTGCGCTGCTTCCGCGGCAAACACGCTGGGTTGGCAGGTTGCCAAAACTCTTGGCGCGCGGAGCGCTGCTCAATGCACTGCGCAAAGCGGAGCGCACAGCCCCACATAGAGTTGAGAAATGGCGGGCTGATTCCGTCATTTTAGCTCTTCCTTCCCCCCCCTCACCCACCCTCCCCACTCTGCTTTTCTACCAACGGCCAATGGGATTGGGCAATTTGCAAAGCTCAACCCTCAACAACAGCGCCGAAACTCTCTTGCGAGTGCGACAATGCATAGTGCGACCTTGAGCATCATGCGATTGGTTTGCGAGGAACCCATCATGCGCCGGTCGCACAGTAGCACGGTCGCACACCAGTTCCATGGTCCATCCATCCATCATCCAGCCAGTCTCTAGCCGCAAACGACGCCGATTTGGTCCAATGGGAGCAATTTCGTGATTCGGGAGGTCGCACATCAATTCCCAGCCCACCAGGGGAGATGTCATGAAGTTCCTGAAGTACCGAATTAGAACGCCATCTATCTAGCCAGAAAACGCACCAACCGCATTCCAAGCCAGCTCGAATGGTGATTTAGTCAGAAAACGCTCCAGCTACATTAGACAAATCGCAAGCCTCGTCTGCCCCACCCCAACTTCTCCTTCATCTAACTGCGCTGGGGCAGTACATTAGTCTCCTGCCAAAAGCGCGGGAGCCATAGGTTGAAACCCTAGATTCCTCCCCATTCGACACAACACACGTAACTAGGAAACACTTCTGTGTTGGCGCTATAGCTTCAGTCGTTGTCTGGCAGTTTGGTCACGCTGGCAGGTCCTTGCCAGACCCCTTAGTACTTAGTTCAACGGCGAGGTGGATTCAGGCTTTGAGGCGGATTCTTGCATGATAGATGCTCGAGTAGTTATTTGTTGATAAATACCTGGTTTCTCCGGTAGATTATAGCCTGCTAGTTTCGTGTCTCAACGCTGTTGCTGTATCAATCTATTTACGCAGCTTCAAGCCCTGGCCTCGAGTGGTGGACGCAACTTACTGGTTACACTTAGGATATTTGGTCCCAATAACATTTTAGAAAGTGGCAGAGAGGGGGTGGAGGGAGCCGGCGAGGCTCCTTTCGCCGTCAACTCACGCCTGACGGACGTCAGTCGCGATGTCGGCGATCGTCTGCGGTAAGCGGTCAGCGTTCGAGGAGAGCACCGTCGAGGTCTTCCATCCAGCAAGCCGGTCCGCGTTCGACGACAGCATCTACGTCGCTCTGCCGCCCGTTTCCAAGCGAGGTCGCTGGTTGCAACCGTCGTCGCCGTCGCGCTGCGCGTGGGTTGAAGACCCGGCAGGAATCAGCGTCGGAATCCGCGGAGGGTCGTTGGCGGAGAAAGTGGTGCTGCTGCGAAGCATGTTCGGCGGCGTGGAGGAGCAGGTAAGCAGATGTCTCTTTCCTTCCAGTGTTTTTTTTTGTCTTCGCCTGTTTCGCGGATTCGCCTTTCTCGCGCTAATGTCGTCGCCTCAGCCTGACTGTACCACAATCCCATATTGTGACTTTTTTCTCCTCTCGTGGCCGCGTCGCGTCGCAGGTCGTTCACCAGGTGTTGGAAGCGTGCAATCACGACATCGACTCCGCCATCCAGTCGCTCAAGGGCTTGCGAATCATCGCTGCTGATAACGCCGCGCTATCACACGCTCAGCTCCAACATTCCGCTGATCCCGCCGCAACTCGCGGTGGGTCCAATGGAACGCGTTGCTCGTTCGCTCTAATGCCTTTTCCTGCGTGGAGCCCATGTCTTCCTATTTTCCTGCATGTTCACAACGCGAATGTCGTTCTTGCGCTCCCTTTTCCGTTCTTATTTTTCTTACCGTATCGTCTCATCCGTTTCATCTCATCCATTTCATCTGCTCCGTTTCATCTCTCAGCCGCGGAGCAAGCGGATCAACATTCGCCGACAACAGGACAGGCGCAACTTCTACAGGAGCCGCTGCTAGGTCAAGCAGGTCCCGCGCCCGCATTAGAATCAACAGCCGCAGCAGCAGCAGGAGGAGGTGATGTAGGAGGAGTGGGAGGCGATGGGGTTCCGTCGAGTGGTGCCGAGTGGGTAGAGCTGGTGGTGCGGGAGATGATGTCAGCAGTGGACGTTGATGACGTCAGGCAGAAAGCAGCCATGGTTTTGGAGCAGTTTGAGAAGGAGGTGCGGAAACGATGCGAAGCCGCTGCTGCCGCCAGTGCCGCTGCCAGTGTCCCGCAGGTGTGTGGGACTGTTGGCATACCTTACGAATTGCGGCATTTTGAAATCAAGACATGCATACGTGTCTGCTGCTGCTGCTGCTGCTGCTGCTGCGACGAGTTGAAGCCACGTTCTCGCACTGACAATGCTCAAGACGTCGAACCACGTCCCACCCTCTCCATCCCTCCGCCATTCACTCTGTGCAGGTAGCCGCCAATGGTGTTTCAGCGGGGGCACACGTGGAGCACCACGTGGCAGCGCTGGTGAAGGAGAATCAGATCTTGAAGCGAGCGGTGGCGATTCAACATGAGAGGCAGCGCGAGCACGAGGCGAGGGAGGGGGAGCTCGTGCAGATGCGGCAAACGCTGGCGCAGTACCAGGACCAGATGCGGAAGCTGGAGGTGAGCTCTTATTCTCCAAAGATACTGGTACTGGCGCAGGTAGGGCAGGCACTGGCCGCATCGCCAGGATTAGCCATGAATGCTGGCGGTTGGGACTTGTTTCGAGTTGAAATGCAGGTGTTATTCTTGGCTGCATCTTATCCCTTTTCTCTCCGTGGGGCTTTTTGTGACGGTTGGGGTGGGATGCGATGTCATTGTGTGGCATGAAATGGCATGGTTTGGCATGGCGTGGAATGGGTGCAATGGGGTGTGCGGGGGTATTGGTGGGTTGCTGCTGGTGCTGTGCATGGCAGGTGAGCAACTATGCCCTCAGCCTGCACCTACAGAAGGCACAAGGCACAGGGACCATCCCCAACCGCTTTCACCCAGATGTCTTCTAACTGCACCGCACCCAACTCCTGCTGTGTTTCTATTCTTCCCTGTGCCTAGATGCCATAGCACAAAGCGGTACCAACTCTGCTTTGTGCAAATCGCGTCTTCGTATTACAGCGAAGCAAAGCAAGCATTCCGCTTGCGCATTTTGTGCCCCTTGCATGTTCTCTCTTTGTATATCTTTTGTACAAATACCAAGCTCCACGGAGGTGGATCTTTGTGAACAAGGCAGCATTAGTCCAATCTGAAGTCCTCTGTATAGAACAAGGTGGTGGATTTCACTGTACATCTGCATCGTACCTGGGGATTAGCTTTACAGCTACACTCCAGAGACTTGTAGTATTGTACATGGACTATGCAGGAGCAGTTTGCTGTTCCAGAGTATATTGACAAGCGGATTCTTCAGTACTGGTAGTTGTCAGGATCCTAGGGCAGCAGTGGTATTCAAGTTTGTCACTCTGGGATGGTAGAGTACAATTAGCAGCACAGCCAACTTTCTGGCAGGCATGGCACATGACACGAGCCAATCACACCAGGATAATGTTACATGTAATATACACGTACGTACTCCCTGCGCCGTCACATGGCTCTGCACTGCAGTAAACTACCACAGGCAGCAGCACTGCACTGCACAACTGGCTGGCAGTACGAGTGTGCTGTGCTGTGCAACCACCAGAAACAGCAGCCCACTCCTCTCGTGCAAATATGAACTTAAATCTGAACTTACCATACCCCAACTTCGAAGTTGAAGGCCCCACCTCCTCTTCTCCTGTTCACCTCATCTCCTCTCACCTCTTCTTCTCGCCGGTGGGAACCCAAGGAGGCAAAGGCGGGCACCCCTCAGGCCGAGAAATCGCACCCCCTGCTAGCCCCGGCACTCTCACCACCTTACCTGCCCCTCCACACCCACCACCGCTACCACAACCGCTGCCACTGCCACCGCTGCCACTGCCACTGCTGCTGCCACTCCCACCACCACTGCCACAGCTCGCACCACTCCCACACCCACCCACTGCACCCGACCCATCCTCTTTCCCCTCTACCCCTTCCGAGCTCCCTCCGTTCAGCCCCTTATCCGGCACAAAGCAGGGCGGATTCCCCCCAGGGAAGGATGGGCACATGGCACTTGCCTTGGTCTCTGGCGGCGGCTGAAACGTGGCTGACTGTGGCGTGAGCAGCGAGCTAGAGGAGGAGTAGGGCGGAGAGGAGGCGGAGGCGGAGGCGGAGAAGGAGGCAGAGGCTTTCGCGGCAGTGGCAGTGAGGAAGGAGGAGGAGGCGGAGAGGGAGGAGAGGGAGTCGGAGGAGCGGATGAGCGGGCGGTCGAACTTGATTCGGAACTCCATGGTGGTGCGGCGCAGACACTCTATGGCAAAGGTGGATGGGTCGATTCGGACTGGCACCTCCCGGATGCGCGTCTGATGTGGGTAGGGGGGCTCGGGAGGGGGGATGACAATGGATTCTTGAGACGTCTCAAAACAGGCTCGGGAGCGGGGATGACAATGGATTCTTCACAAAGTAGCCCTTATTGGTTGATACATGCAGTAAACTGCCGATACACACATGCACCGCTCACATCCACCCACACCTGCCCACACCTGCCTACACCTGCCCACACCTGCCTACACCTGCCCACATCCATACACACGTGCTCACACCCGCCCCCCACCCGCTCCGCAACCGCACCTGCCAGTACACAAAGTAACCGCGCTCTGCCAGAATGTCCGCCAGCATTTGAGGCGCTCCTGCGGGTTGGGGGCACCAGGAGAGATGCAGGGGATGGGGAGAGGAGGAGAGGAGGAGAGGAGGAGAGGAGGAGAGGAGGAGAGGAGGAGAGGAGGAGAGGATGTGAGGAGGAGAGGATGAGAGGAGGAGAGGATGAGAGGAGGAGAGGATGAGAGGAGGAGAGGATGAGAGGAGGAGAGGATGAGGAGAGGCGTCGAGGAACAGAAGTGAAGAGGAGAACAGAAGGCGCGGAGGGAGGTGAGCATAGATGAACGAAAAACTGGACATGAAAATGAAAGAACATGAGTATCCCGCCTTGCACGGATGAGGAGATTAGAAGGGGAGGGGCAGCTCAACCAGATTCACGTTTGAGAATTCGCACAAGTTGAAGAGGAGGCGGCATACCTGGGCGGTGAAAAAACGTCTGAGAGGGCGTACGTTTAAGCGTACGTTTAAACGTGGGCACCTTGATTTTGAAGATGGCAAAGCCTGAGAGGGCGCCTCATTCTCAACGCAACTTCAACTCGAGGCACCTACAAAGGGGATGAAGAGGAGGTAACATACCTGGATGGTCGAAGAACACGGGGAGCTCTGTGTTTGAAGATGGCAAAGCCTGAGCTCCATTCTTGAGTCGCCTCACAACCAGATGCCTCAAAAGGACATGAGGAACAGGTAGCATACCTGGCCGATCGAAGAACACAGGCGGCTCGGTGTTGAAGATGGCAAAGCCTGAGTCTGTTCCTGATCGTCTCATTCCTAAGGCTTTTTAATCTTGAGGCATCTCGAAAGGGAAAGCGTACCTGGCCGATCGAAGAACACAGGCAGCTCGGTGTTGATCAGGACAAAGCCTGAGTCTGTTCCTGAGGCGCCTCACTCCTAAGGAAACTTAATCTTGAGGCACCTCGGAAGGGAATGCATACCTGGTCGGTCAAAGAACACAGGGAGCTCGGTGTTGAAGATGGCAAAGCCTGAGAGGGCAGAGCGGCGGATGATGGGGATGACCTGCGAGTCGATCACTGCAATTACCTGCAGGGGGATGGGTGTGGATGGGTGCGAATGGGAAAGGAGGGGTGCATGCGTAAGGGCATACGCGTCGCAGTGATGGGAATGACCTGTGAGTTGATCACCTCGATTACCTGCAGGGAGATGGGTGCGGATAGGTGAGGCTGGGTGAGGCTGGGTGAGGCTGGGTGAGGCTGGGTGAGGCTGGGTGAGGCTGGGTGCATGTGTAAGGTATATGGGTCCAAATGATGGCAATGCCTTGAAAGTCGACTTCAGGGGTGGTGGGTCATGGGATAGATGATGGGGCATCAAAGCGTTGAGATAGAGGGGGCAAGACAGGGCAAGACGAGGCACGCAAGACGAGGCTTGATGCAATGAATCCAGGACCTCTTTGAACGTGGCAGGGTCCTTCTGTTGGTAGCTGTCGAGGCGAGTGACCATGTTCTGACGTGCGTACTTGGCTATGTCCTGCCGGGGAGAAGCGTGGAGAGAGGTGACGACGGGGAGAGCCACAGAGGAGGGAAGCGAGGGAATGGGTGGGCGGGTGGGGAGAGGGGAAGGCGAATGCGGAGGGGAGAGGGCTGATATCACGGAAATTTGTGCTTTGGTGGAAGGAAAACGGATAGGCAAGGAGAGAGTAAGTCGAACAGAAGAAAAGACACATCGAGACACTAGGAAAGGGCTGATACCATGTGATTGACTGGTGGTAAGCTGAGTGTGACTGACTGATCTACAGAATACGATTGGATTGCATTGAAATAGCTTAAGGTGCACGCAGCAGAAGAGGGGGAAAGGTAAAGAGAATGCAAACGGAATCCATACAGAGGCGAGGGGAATGTGGCTGATGGCTCGGAACGTGGTTAGGTTGAGCTCCAACGCGCTCTGATACTGCAGCTCCTTCTCTATCTGCTCACCGCAGAGCAGAGAAGAGCAGAGCAGAGCAGAGAAGTAAGAGAATGATGGGGGTGATGGGGGTGATGGGGGTGATGGGGATGATGGGGGTGATGGGGGTGATGGGGGTGATGGGGGTGATGGTGTGATGGGGGTGATGGGGGTGATGGTGTGATGGGGGTGATGGGGGTGATGGGGTTGATGGGGGTGATGGGGGTGATGGTGTGATGGGGGTGATGGGGGTGATGGGGGTGATGGTGTGATGGGGGTGATGGTGTGATGGGGGTGATGGGGGTGATGGGGGTGATGGTGTGATGGGGGTGATGGGGGTGATGGGGGTGATGGGGGTGATGGGGGTGATGGAAGCAGAAGAAGCCCTTGAGGCGCAGCAGTGAAGCCCCACGCCCCACTCCCCACCTCCCACCTGCCCTCCCACCCGCCCTCACATACTGACCTGCTCTCGGCACTCAGGAGATTCCCCATGCCATCAATGAGGTGGAAGGGGAAGAAGGCCTTGAGGCGCAGCAGTGCACCCTCTTCATGATTCAATCCCTACTAGCCTAAGCCCAGCCTAGACGAGATCAGGACGAGTTAGGACTGTTGGATCCAGGTCGAAACTACCTTTCTATGCGCAGCAGCGCACCCTCTTCATGACTACCCTCCCATCTCCTACTTACTCTCCCACCTCCCTTCAAACACGCACCTGCTCTCTGCACTCCGCAAGCGTGCCCATGCCGTCGATGAGGTGGAAGGGGAAGAAGGCCTTAAGGCGCAGCAGCGTGTCGTAGTGCTGGCGGAATATGTGGTAACGGCGCCGCGCCGACTTCTCACTGTACGGAAGGAAGGAGCAAAGGGAGATTGAAAATCGTAATGAAGGAGAGGGGCGAGAGAGCTTATGCAGCATCGTGTCGTAGTGCTGGCGGAATATGTGGTAGCGGCACCGCGCTTTCTCACTACAGGGGGAAGTGAGGGGAGGGAGGGGAGGGAGAGAAGGGAGAGAGAACTCATTGACACGGGAAGGAGAGCAGCAGTGTGTCGTAGGCTGCCGGAATATGTGGCAGCGGCGCCGTGCCGACTTATGAATGCGGGGAGAGAGGGAAGAGAGGGGATGGAGGGAAAACACTCTGAAGGGAAGGGAGAGAAGGGATGGATGCATCGAAATTCTGAACTGAATCACTCACCACAGGTCAGTCGCCCTCACTTCCTGCAGCTCCCCTATCCCACTGTCCACCACCATTGTCCTTCCCCTTCCCCTATCCCATTGTCCTTCCCCTATCCCACTCCCCTTCCCCTATCCCGCTGTCCACCACGCGCTGGTTGTGCTGAATGGCCGCCCTGCCCCTCAAGACTCCATCGTGCATGCATGCATGCGCAGACACATGGATCAATGCCTTCAGTGCCCCTCTTACCACAGGTCCGTTGCCCGCACTTCCTGCAGCTCCCCTATCCCGCTGTCCACCACCCGCTGGTTGTGCTGAATGGCCGCCCTGCCCCGTGCCAACTGCCGCCGCACACTCTCCTCCTCCTCCACGTACCTTTAGGAGAGGGAGGGGAGGAGGGGAGAGGGGAGGGGAGAGGGGAGGGGAGAGGGGAGGGGAGAGGGGAGGGGAGAGGGATTATTCTATGGAAGGGGAGAGGTGGAAACGAGGAGTGTCGAGTCTAAACGTGCTTTTCACACTCAACTGCGAGCTCAGATACTATTTTCAAAGAGTCATGGAGGGTCAAGGAGGGTCAAGGAGAGTCAAGGAGGGTCAAGGAGAGTCAAGGAGGGTCAAGGAGGGTCAAGGAGAGTCAAGGAGGGTCAAGCAGCCTGGGCATATGTAAGGTGGGCTTACAGCACGGCGATGAAAGGGCTTACAGCACGGCGATACGGAAGATGGGTCGGGGGAACTGTGCTTCCAGGGGCGTGTTGAGGTACTTGTGATGTAGCTCCATTAGCCTGGATGGTGGGAAGGGGAATGAAGGGGGGAGACGGGAGAGAGGGAGAGGGAGAGGGAGAGAGGAGAGGAGAGCAGCAGCGAGTGAGAAGGCAACTCACGTCCACAACGCCAAGCACTGAATTGGGGAGCTGTGCTTCCAGGGGCATGTTGAGGTACTTGTGATGTAGCTCCATTAGCCTGGATGGTGGGTGAGGTGGCGAGGGAGACGGGCGCGAGAGAGGGAGAGGGAAGGGAGTGAAGGAGGGAGAGATGGGGAGAGGAGTGGTGAGCAGCTGTCTGTGAGTGAGAAGGCAACTCACATCCACCAAGCCAAGCCTAGCATTGGATTGGGGGATCTGTGCTTTTAAGGGCGTGCAGAGCAACATCTTATAAGATGCCTCAAAAGCCACCCCTGTTGCCACTTTGCACCGCACTGCACCACACCTGCCATAGACTGCACCGCATTGCACCACTTTGCATGCACTGCACCGCACCGGTCATAGAGCATCTTGATGAATACGACCTGCACGGTGGTGCGTGGAAAGCCATCCACCACTTTTCAGGTGCCAAAGACCACACCTGCACCACACTGCTATCGATTTGCACCGCACTGCACCTCAACGCACAGAGCATCTTGATGAATTCGACCTGCACGGTGGTGCGTGGAAAGCCGTCCACCACAGCACCCACCACTTTGGACTGCACCTAACGCCACTTTGCACCGCACTGCACCTGATGCCACGTTGCACTGCACCACTGTGCACCGCACTGCACCACTCCGCACCTGTCATAGAGCATCTTGATGAAGTCCACCTGCACGGTCGTGCGTGGAAACCCATCCACCACAGCGCCGGCCACTTTGCCGCCCGCCTCGGGATTCGCCACCACCTCCCCGTGATCCGCGTCCTGTAGCATGGCTGGCGTGTTGCCGAGCGTGAGGATGCGCTGATGGGGGGTGAGAGAGAAGAAGGGTGAAAATCGTTGAGGGGCGAGGAAGGAGGGGGCGAGGTGGGGGTTGAGGATTCGCCACCACCTGCAGCGTGGCTGGCGTGTTGCCTAGTGTGAGGATGCGCTGAGGAGGAGAGAGGGAGGGGAGGGAGAGGTCGGGATTCACATGGCGAGAGGAAGAAAAGAGACGGTCAGTATTCGCTGAGCCGAGAGAGAGGAGGGAGAGACAGTGGGGAGTCAGAGACAGGCTTACGCGTCCAAATCATGGCGAAGGCACCTGAAGGCTCACCTGAAGTACCTGGCAGCCTACATCACCAACTGACGGCTCACCTGAAGCACCTGACGGCTCACCTGAAGCACATGGCGGCTCACCTGAAGCACCTGACGGCTCACCTGCAGCACGATCTGCAGCACCATGGAGTCGGAGACGAGCCCTCCGCTTCTCATGATGGCTCACTTTAATCACCTGACGATTCACCTGAAGCACCTGACGGCTCACCTGGGGCACCTGCCGGCTCACCTGCAGCACGATCTGCAGCACCATGGAGTCGGAGACGAGCCCTCCGCTCCTCATGATGGCCGCCACGTCCTCATTGCCGCCCAACAGGTCGCTCACTTGTATGGCGCGCGCTGCAGGGAGGGAGAGTGAGGGAGTGAGTGGGTAAGGGAGGGATATGGCGAGTGAGTGAGTGCCGCCCAGCAGGTCACTCACTTGGATGGCACACGCTGCACGGACAGAGTGGGTGGGTGGAGGTTTGAATGAGTGTGCGAGAGTGAGGGAGGGAGGGAGTGAGTGAGGCCGACGGACAGAGGCACGAGTACCTACTCCCCTTCAGACCACCCACACACACCCCGTCAGGCCACCCTCTCCAGTCCAGAGCACCCCCCTACCTTCGAATCCGCGCGTGCGCAGGATGAAGGGCGTGTTAGCGCCCTTCCCCGCGCCAGGCGCGCCGTTGAGCCACACGATCTCCTTGGGCGGCGACAGCTTCTCCTCGCCGCCCGCCGCTATCACCCCCTGCCACGCCTCCTCGAACGCGCGCCACGACTCCATCGGAATCTGCGCGCGGAAAAACGGGGGAGGACGGGGAGTGGGGAAACGGGGAGGAGGGGAAGAGAGCGAGGAAAGGGATTGGAGGAGGGGGAATCGCTGGAAAAGGGTGTTCATTGGACGCTTGAGAAACACATTAAGCCTCACCTCTAGAGCCTCCACGTCGCCCTCCTTCAGCCTCTCGTCCAGCGATCGCTGCGACGGATGGCCAATGTCCATCGCCAAACGATCCATCTGCACCGTTGGATGGCCTGAATCCACCGTCGGATGTGCCATCTCTCCTTCAGTCTCTCGTCCAACGTCCACAGCCGCTTCGCCCGCCTCCAGCGACGCCGACGAAGGGTTGGAATCGGCGCGTTGCTCGCCGAGACTGTCGCTGTGGCTATTACGATGGATCTCGCCGCGATTATCGCCGTCATTATCGCCGTGAAACACGGTCGTCGCGCCGACCTCTTCCACTGCCGATTCGCCGCCAGCTTGCTCGGCGATCGGATCTGCCGACGTGGCTAGCTGCGCGTCTGCTGATTTTGCACGCTGCGCGACCTCGGATCCCGCCTGTTGATGGAGCTGTGCGACGCGTGCGACACTTTGTGAGAAATGCATGCGACTAACTGCGACGGGGTCGTGCGAGAGAGCAATGGATCCTCTGCATCGCGGATTTGATCCTGATGGACATAACTGACCACCGTGTCCGAGCTTGGAACGCTGTGGTTTTCCGAGAGCATCAGGCGGCGAAACGCGGGTTGCAACGCCGGAAGTGTGTAGAAGACGAGCGGTTTCGATCGGTGACGAGTCAGAATAGCCCTGAGGTAGGACGGTAAGGGGTTCAGTGAAGCGAAAGGCGGGAAGAGCGAGACGCGAGGCTGTGAGAGATACTAGTCTCCGTCGACTGACGGACAGCGCGGCGCGAGGCATTCTGGCGGATCTCTAACGAACCTCCGTTAAGGAAAGCGGAAAAAATAAACGATTTCCAGTGGGCTTCACTGATCAGTCCAAACAGGCATCACTAACGAACAGTATCCCGACAGTATGTCTTCGACCTAAATTTCACGACCGCATCACTACTCATGGATAATGGAAAATCATATGGCTAGCTTGTTGTCAGAACCTGGAAACCGAAGTGCTAGCATGGCTGCTCTGCCAGAGAGTGGAGTGTTGAGCAAGTGAGGAAGGCGGAAACCTAGGCAATGTCGTGATGAATGCTTGAACTTGAATTCCCTGAATGCTGGGAAGTAGGAGATCCCAAGGTGTACGTTGCACGGATTTTCTATCCCAAGAGCGTAAAAGTTAGCTAATCAAATGAGTCTCACACCGAGTGTTGCAACGAGAATATATCTTTGAGGAGGTCTTCAGTGCTCGAATGTGAATTTTAGCTACGAAAAATCGGAAATTAAAGTCCCACCTGACTTGACAGCCAGGATTCGTAAAGGGCGACGTTATTTGGCAAGGGCGAGCAGTAGCATGCCCGTGATTGGGCCTTCAAGTGGCGCATCACTGGAATTGAACCAACCACGTAACAATGAATATGTACTCGCCAGGAATATCCTCGATTTCAATCTCGCGAAACCCCCTCATCGAATCACATGCCTTGTTTGCTCTGCGAAGGCAGGTTTGGTTTGGTGAACGTGAGGTGCTGTATCAAAGCTCCACGCTGTCCAGGTCAAGCGGACCACGTTCGATCTGATTCCATCTGGGCCCACATCCAATTAGTGTGGAAGGGCAACAATCTCCGTTACAGAAAAATCGTCCTCGCCCAGTTCGCCCTTCCAACGATGGAGTTCGCCATCTCGCCAACAGCCCCCGAATTCCGCCGTCCACAGCCAGCCCGTTGGAGCAGCAGCTCCGCCTTCTGAGGCGGCGCTCCGCGAAACTCCCGAATCTGCGCCCTCTCAGTGGTGTGTCAGGCTTTTTGGGGTAGCGCATTGATTAGCCCGCGGATATCCTTGCCGAAACCGTTAGCCTAGACGTTCGTGGCGACACTCACGAGGTCGCAACAGTTTATCGTCCGGGCGAAAGACTGCTTTGGTACACACAAGCGAAACAGACATTACTTCGCCAGAGCCTTTCGCTCGTCGCACCCGCTTTTCGTCACTTGGCCGTTTGTTGGAAATCATGCGCGCTCGCGGAGATTCGCGGGCGAATCTTGTCGGCGGTGCGTTTCCTCCTCCGCCGCTTGGGCCTCGGGATTGGTTGGGACACACAGCAGAATACTACCACTTTGCAACCATCTCAACCGCGTGCAACATAGCCAACTGTTGTCCCGACTCCATTGTAGACGAATCCTCAACAGGGAACTCGTTCTGTGCGCCAACTAGCAACCATTCTCCAACTCTTTCCGCCCCATCTCATTCTTCCAACTCCCTTCCAACCCAACCTCTCCACTTGCACAACTCGCCTTCCTCTCCACCTCAAGCTCACCACTCACCACGTTTTCTTCTTGCTCGCGACTTTTTCTCGCCTCTAGTCACGTTTTCGATGGCGAGAATTTCTTATCTTCCTCGCGAGGATTTGTTCTCGCGCCTACGGCTTTCTCTAGTGTAGCGTTCCCGGCGGAGATTCGTCTTCTCCGTGCTGTCGAGACGGCGATGAAGCGTTGATGTCCGAATAGTTCGTCCGACAAGGTTAGTCTTCCAATGCGATCTTCCGAATGATTGTTTTTCGCCGCTAGGTTTCATTGTCGATCAGATTTCACGTTTCAATGTCGCACATCTCAGATGATCCTTTCCCTATTTGCATGTGTTGTTTCCCGATTCGCCGTCGCCAGATCCTTCCGTCGCAGCGACGCATTTCTTCGTTCCTTCGAACACCGTTCCTTGCTTCGTCAGTCCTCCGGCCTCTGGTTGCGCGCGTCACAACGATTTCCGCAAATGATTCGGTACGACTCACGATTAGTGATGTTTTTTACGACTGCCTTCCCTATTGCTCCTCTGAGTCTCCACAACCGCATTTCTCGTCCCCTGCGACTCGTCGATTGTGCTGCGTTGCTGCGTCGTTACTGCTACCAGATATTCCCTAAACCGTCTCTCCTCGTTATTGCTGGGTTCAGATGCGACTGGATACGCGATCGAATCGTCCAATCGCCGTCGCCCGACGAAATCGTCGTCCGCGCGTTGTCGCATGGCGAAACCGTCGTCCGCGCGCCGTCGCACGGCGAAATCGGCGTCCGCGCGCCGTCGCATGGCGAAATCGTCGTACGCGCCTCGTCTCACGGCGAAATCGTCGTCCGCGCGTCTTCGTGTGGCGAAATCGTTGTTCGTACGTCAACGCTCGCGAAATCGTCGCACGGCTGTGCGTCTTGTTGGCATGGGGTTGAGCAGCAGCTGCGGCCGCAGCAGCAGCTCTCTCGGTGATTCTTCAACCGCCAGCTAAGTGCCTTCTCCTCCCTCCACTCTATTGCTTTCATGCCGTGCTTTCACCATGCATCACACTACATTTTTCACTGCTCTTTGTCACACCCATGAGACCTCCCTCCCCCAAGGTAGCAGGTGTCTTTTTTCCTGGTAAAGCCTCGGGTGTTTGTTCTTAGTTTGGTTCAGCTGGTACGAGGTCTCTTGGGTGTGCCACTGCAGCAGTCCATTCATGCACGCATCATGCTTGCGCTTGCTGCACTCTTCACTTTCACTTGGCTTGGCTTCTGTTCTCGCTGCTCTCCCCACTCCTCTGCGCCCCCTTCACTTCCCCGTTTCCTCCCCCCCCGCTCTCCCTTTCTCTCTCTGTCTTGATCTTCCCCATTCTGGTCCCAGCAGGTCGCTCACACGGGAGTGGCAGTGGCGGGGGACATGGAGTGCACAGGCAGCAGCTGCTCTCCACCCAACCCACCCACAGCTAAGTACCCCGCCCTTCCTCTCTTCTCAGAACCCGTCGCACTCTGTTGCTTTTCATGTGCTGCCCTCTGTCACACCCAAGAGATCTGAACCTTCTTTTAAACTTGAGCCTCTGGTCGTGCTACAACTTCAAGCCACAGACCCGTTTTTTTGGTAAACCACCCCAGGTACAGGTATGCTCTCAGGTTAAGCCTTCCTTTGAGTCTCTGGCTTGTAGCTGAAGCTGCACCAGTGGCCCCCTTTCCGCTATTACCTGCCACCCCACCCCACCCCACCCCACCCATGCACACCCTTAACATTGTCAACCTACCCCTAGCCGTTTACTCACTCTTCAGTTCTCTCCTTGCAGGTGGAGGGGAGGGGCGTGAGGGTCAACACCGCCACTCCCCCTCACCCCTCCCCTTGTGGCCGTGCAGGTGGCAGTGGTGGGAGGGGAGGGGGGCAGCACTCCACTCGGCTGGGGTGGGTGGGTGAGTATCGGGATGGGGTCGTCTGGAACAAGGTGAGCCTGTTTTCCCTCGTGCACTCATGCTGCTGCTTGTTCTTCTTCCCATGCTCACTTCCCGTTTTTGCTCCCTTGCTTTCTTGTAGCTTCTGCCTACTCTTCTCCCCATTCTCACTGCTGTCCCTTGATCCCCTGCCTACCCCTGCCTTGCTCCCTCCCTCCCAGTACACTGAAGGCGTAGCAGGGCAGCACGGGGGCATCAGCAGGGCAGCAGCTGAGAGGAGGGGAGGGGCAACGGCAGCAGCAGGGGAAGCAGAGTAGCAGACCGGGAGTGGCAGTGGCTGCTGACATGGAGCGCACAGGCAGCAGCTGCTCTCCACCCAACTCACCCACAGCTAAGTACCCGCCCTTCCTCTCTTCTCCCAACCCTCGCACTGTGCTGCTTTGCTTGTCATGCTTGCACCATGCATTACACTGCTTTTTGTCACACCCATTAGACCTCCCTCCCCCATGGTAGTAGGTATCTTTTTCTAGGTACAGCCTCAGGTTTTCTTTTTACTTTGGTTCAGCTGGTACGAGGTCTCTTGGGTGTGCCACTGCAGCAGTCCATTCATGCACGCATCATGCTTGCGCTTGCTGCCCTCTTCTCTTTCACTTATCTTGGCTTCTTTCCTCACTGCTCTCCCCATTCCTCTGCGCCCCCTTCACTTCCCCGTTTTCTCCCCCTCCTCCTCCCTTCCTCTCTCTGTCCCGACCTGCCCCCTCTCTGTCCCCGTTATTGCTGGGTTCAGATGCGACTGGATACGCGATCGAATCGTCCAATCGCCGTCGCCCAACGAAATCGTCGTCCGCGCGTTGTCGCATGGCGAAACCGTCGTCCGCGCGCCGTCGCACGGCGAAATCGGCGTCCGCGCGCCGTCGCATGGCGAAATCGTCGTACGCGCCTCGTCTCACGGCGAAATCGTCGTCCGCGCGTCTTCGTGTGGCGAAATCGTTGTTCGTACGTCAACGCTCGCGAAATCGTCGCACGGCTGTGCGTCTTGTTGGCATGGGGTTGAGCAGCAGCTGCGGCCGCAGCAGCAGCTCTCTCGGTGATTCTTCAACCGCCAGCTAAGTGCCTTCTCCTCCCTCCACTCTATTGCTTTCATGCCGTGCTTTCACCATGCATCACACTACATTTTCCACTGCTCTTTGTCACACCCATTAGACCTCCCTCCCCCAAGGTAGTAGGTATTTTGTTTCTTGGTACAGCTTCAGGTTTGTAATTTAGTTTGGTTCAGCTGGTACGAGGTCTCTTGGGTGTGCCACTGCAGCAGTCCATTCATGCACGCATC